CAGAGGAGGCTGCTTGTATCCAGGAAACGTGAATCACAGTGTCTGCTAGCTCACAGCCATGTTCTGAAGGAACTGCCCTTGCTTACAACCTCTGCTGCCCACGTAGAGCTGCCCTTTCCCCCCAACACTGCCCACTGTTCCTGCCATGGCAGATTGGAATAACCTGGCCTTATAAGAAAATATGTGCTGGACCAATCAGATTCTCTCTTTAGATTTGGGAATTGGGACACTGAGAACCAGGCCATTTGGCTCTAACAAACAGAGCTGAACATCATACTGGACTCCTGGGCTAAGGTTACTTGGCTGGGCAGGTTCTAGAGCAGAGTCAAGGAAGGAGGTGATGGAGTGGACCTATAGGGACAAGCAGAAGCTTTGGTTTCTGTAATTGAGCAAACTTTAGTGGATTTCTGTACCACAACGTGAAGGGGGTTAACTGAAACATCGTGAAATCAAGAGAGGAAGTCAAGGCCAAAGTCCTGCCCTGAAGGGCCACGAAAAAACAGCCTACTCTGTCTTCCATGCAAATGCATAAGATTTCCAGGCTGGAAAAACCCTAGAGGGTAGGATCAGCACCATCATGGCTAATATTTTCCTAGAAATTAAGATAAGCCAGGCCCTTTGCATAAACTATCAACCCCTTGAGAAAGAGCAGAACAATTACCCTTATTTTACAGATGTGTAAAGACAGGTTAAGTCAAAAGCATGCCTTTAGTCATATAGGTATTATGGTAAATCAGTTATAAAAATGGTCCCATCCCTGGGCCCTTCCTGTATCCTCATCCTGCTCAGCACGACTTCACTGCTGCTCGATCAAGAGATGGTATTCTGTGACTTGCTTTGGCCAGTAGAATGTGGCGGAAATGACAGTATGTCGATTCTGAGCCTAGGCCTGTGCTGCTGCTTGGCCTCCTGCTGCTTAACCACAGGCAGTGTGCTGACACCGACTGTGCAGAAAGAGGAGGCAGAACAAACCCAACCTGTACACACCTCAGCCCAGGCCCCTTGCCTGGTCTGCACTGTGACTGGGGGAGCACAGAGTTGAGAAAGGAAAAATAAAGAAACAAATAAGGAAATAAATAAAATGCTGCTTCTTCATTTATTAGGACCCTGTGCATGTGAAGTAGTCTAGGCTGTTTACTGGAAGATGAGAAACATATGGCCCAGTCACCCTGTGATCAACAGCCAACCACTGGAGGAGTGACTGAGGCCATCCTAGATGAGCCAGCCCTTGGCCAACTGCCAGACATGTGAAGGACACTCCTGGATCAGGCAGCCCCCAGACAAGCCCCTTACTAAACACAGGTGCCTAGGTGATTCCAGCCAAGATCAGCCACACCTGGACCAGATCAGCAGCCCCCCCAACCCCGCTGACCCACAGACTCTGAGCTAAAGCATAGCTTAGGCTTCTAAGACACTTAAGTTTTGGTAGGTTTGTTAGGTGACAACAGCTGCAGATGTGTAGAATCTGGGACTTGAACAGAGGACTATCTGACTTCAACACCAGTGCATGTTTTCAAATCCTGTGCACACTAGCCTGGCTAATGCAATGTCTTCCCTCTGAGAAGCAGCCTGAAAGTAAAGTCTACAGGTCACTTACAAAAGCATCAGGGGCTGTTTGTCGAATGCAGATTCACCCCCTTATCCCAAACCTACTGAATTAGACTCTCCTGGGAGCAGGGTTTGAGATTCTACATTTTAAACCAAGTTCCCTGACCGTTTTCATTGCACATTAACATTTTGGAACACTAGATTGTTCTGCTAAGACTTTGAAACAGTGAAGCATTGCATTGTCTCACTCTGGTATTGCTTTCTCCTTGGGTAGTTCCCTAGGCTTATTTGTATGGTAAGCTTTTAAGTAAAAAAAAAAAAAAAAAGACACACTGGGCCCTGGCTAGTGTGGCTCAGTGGATTGAGCACCAACCTGCGAACCAAAGGGTCACCGGTTCAATATCCAGTCAGGGCACAAACCTGTGTTGTGGGCAGGTCCCCAGTAGGGGGCGCGCAAGAGGCACCCACACATGAATGTTTCTCTTACTCTCTTTCTCTCTCCCTTCCCCTCTGTCTGAAAAAAAAGATACATTGGCCTTTTTTTTCCGGAGGTAGTGTTGACACAGTCACTAACTTTTTTGATGGAGATAGAATACATACTAGTGAGTGAAATGACCCAGATGACACCATGATTTAAGTGTATCAACATGTTACTCCTTGAATAAATACTGGAAAATTAGTTTTTCCTGATCCTATAGCCCCATGAACACATAGTCTTATACTAGATATAGAAATAGGGGAGGAATGGAGTAGGAAGGGCATTTACCAACAATATTCACTTGTCTTTACTGTTATTATCTATAATATTATTTTCCCAAAGCAAGCACTAAGAGGAATAGGAAAGGACTTGATCCTAACTTGACTTTGAGTTTGTTCAGTCTGAACTAGCTTTAGCAGGAATGTGTGTTCACCTCTGAAGTAGCCATTACAATTGTAAGAATATTTCACCAGTGCTACCTTCTCAAGTTCACCAAACTCTAGTTAAACGTTTAAAGTGTCTTTTAGACTGATCTGTTTCATGGTATCATGTTTTATAGAAGAGTTTTTCACCAAGAATAGAAAAAGGGAAAAATAATAATAAAAAGAAACTACTGCAGAAAGTGCTGTTGGAAGCCTGTTCCTCTTCAGATGACCCCAGCGCTTAGCACTTTTGATTCAATGTTCTTTGTTTCCTACAAATATTTCCCCCCCTGTTCAAAAGGTGGAAGAGGCTCTGAATAGCTGAAGTACTGCACTTTTTAAAACCTGCTGGGCAACTTCTCATTTCTAACAGTACTAAAGTTTTGCTGTACCAGACTGTGCATGACAAACCACAAAACATACGCATAAAAAAATCTAGACTCTTCTAACTGTGCCAACCCGTGGGTAAAAACTTACTTCTGGAGTCACGCAGCTGTTGAAATCAGTCATATTTACAATTTTTACAAATGAGTTTATTTTAATAAAAACAAGTTACTCTGTGAGCATGATCTCTAAACAGATTTATGTGGGCTGGCACAATCTGCTATGTGAAACATATATTCACATTGCTTTGTTCTGCAACCAGTTTTGTTTTTTTTTTTTTTTGAGGGTGGATCTTGCTTTGTACAAGGATACCAAATAATTGGCAGCAATTCAGCTAAGGATACTGTTCTCAGCTCTGTGCTATCAAAATTGTTATCCTGGACAGAATCGCCCTGTGGGCGTAGCCCTAACTTGGGAGGACTCTGGGCTGCTAGCATTGGTCAGTGAACCAGACAGCTTTATAGAGAGAAAGAAGGAGGTGACACTCTAAATGGTGACTAAAGAAGAGGGTGAGGGGGACGATGGGTGGGAGAAAAGGAAGGATGGGAAGTAAAGAGGGAGAGGGTGGGAGGGTGGGCAGAGAGTGGGGAGAGAAAGAGATGGGATTTGTATTCCTCAGTCCACATCCTTAAAGGGGTCTCTTTATGTATCAGTCCTTGATCTCTGGCTCATGTTTCCATATTCGTGTTTGCTTGGTTACTAGACTGTAATCTCCGTGAAGACAGTAATGTTGCCTGACTCAACTCTGCATTTCATATGCCGGTGCTCAAAAACCGCTGTTAAACATGTGAACAAAAGAATGAATTTCTGTATCGGAAGCATTCCTTTCCTCAGATGAGTCCTAAAGAGAAGGCACCGGACTGCCCTCTAGGAGGCATACTGGAATTCTGTGGATGCAGTTTGGGGCCTCTAGTTCTCATATTAGTGTATTTATTTAAATAGCGAAAAATACTATTTTGTTATTTTGTTGATTTCCTGTAGCAATTTAGAATCAACGACTTTCTCTTTTTTTCATCTTTATAGTACTAGAACATTGAGGTCTTGAACTTATTTGTGTAGTTTACATTTCATTTCAGAAGAGTAAAGCGATGTTAAATTTTTGTTGTAAATACAGTGTGTTGAGTATGACAGAATCGAGTACCTCTGTTAATAAGATCATTAAGCTTTGCTTGCTTTTGCTTTCGCAAGTTTTAGGGTTCTAAGATGAAACATCCAAATAAAAAGAAGCTGGTGTGCATTGATTTCAAAAGTCGGGGTTTCATTTTAAGTTACTGTATATTTCAGGATTAATGCGGCTCAGCGGAGCACTGCTGTCAAAGAAAGCCCAGAGAGTCCGTGACTGGGGTGCGGGTGGGGGATGAACATCAAGGCGCGTCCAGGCCCGTGCAGAATAGCTTGGAGGGTGATGGAGAGTGAGTGGTTTCTCTTTGCTTTGTACTTTTCATTTAAAAAATGGTGTGGGGGTGGACGGGAAATGAGTGGGGAGGGGCGGTGACGCTGTCCGGTTTTCCCCAAAGCCTGGGTCCTTAGCTGGCTTTCTTTGAGGGGCTGGTTTACAACGAAGTTGTCCCGATTTGAAGACCACAGCTTTCAAAGAAAGCCCTCCAGGAGTAACTCGTGAGGGGGGGAAGGAGGGCTTTCGGGGAGCAGAGGTTACCTCTGTCTAGCACGGCTGTCCGAAATGAGGTTGAACTGAACTTTTGTGTCTGCGGGTGGGGCTGCGGCCAGTGGTGGAGACGAAGAGGCGGGGCGTCCGTTGACAGGTGGTGGGGCCTCGGGCTAGAATGGAAACGGGCCTTGGGAAGGTGGGGCTTCTATTGATAAAGGGCGGGGCATCCACTTAAAGGGCGGGGTTTGGACAGAACTACCACCTGGAAAGGGGCATACGATGCGAAGGGGCATTTCTCACGACCCGGTGGTGACAACAGAAAGGCAAAGCTTTCAAGGAGCGTGGCCACTCTGACAGAAGGCGGCTGCCTTCCGGACAGACCTGTGTGGAAGACCTGGCTTTGGCCGATAGAGGGCGGAGCTATCGCCGGCAAGGGGCGGGACCCCTTTGAGATCGGGAGAAGGAGGGGCTTCTGTGGAGGAGGGCAGGGCATCCGCAGGCATAGGCGGGGCTTCTGTTGACAGAGGGGCGGGGCGGCTCCCTACCCCCAGCTCTACGCCAATCGGGGCGTAAAGGCCGGGGTCTAAGCCCAGGGGAGCAGCGGGTGCTGGAGCTGAGAGCCGGGCGCGGAGCGGAGTCGGGGCGCGCAGAGGGCGCGCGCGCGGGCGGGCCCTGCCTCGGCCGGCTCCTCTCCTCCTCCCACCCCCGGCAGCCTCGCGCCTTGCCTCACCCCACTCCACTCCCCGGACCCTCCGAGGGGCCTGCAGAGCTCCGAGGCCCTGTGACGGCCCGCCGAGCGGTTCCGGGTGTAGGGTTCACAGGTCAGAGTTGACTCCCTGAAAAGTGCAGCAGCTTTGAAATGCAAGATGGCGGCGGCGGGGCGCTGAGAGGCGCGGCGGCCCCTGCAGGTAGCGGCCGGAGCCGGTTCCGGGTGGAGCGGGCCGGGGTTCCCGGGAGCTGCGGGTAGGAACAGGCAGCGCAGAGCCCGTGGCCGGCGCGGACAGGACAGAGGAGGGTGGCCGCAGGGCAGAAACCCTGGGGGGCTGAGCGTGCTCGAGGCGGCGGGTCTCGGGGCGGACCTGGCGCTGGGCGTTCGAGGGGGAGGGACCGGGCCTGCCAGGGCCTGGCAGCGCCATTGAGGGACAGACCCTGAGCCTCCTTCGCGCCTTTGGGGTCTCTATGGCCAAGGAAATAGCTGGGGGGAGGGGGGGAAGCGGCTCTGTAAAGGAAAATCTCAGCCCTCCTACCTACGGGAGGATTGAGCAACTTGGGGTTATTGAGGGGAGTGAAGGCTGGGTGGGTCTTCGGGGGGGGGCGGAATACGCCGCAGGGATGGCGGACCCCAACAATGTGGAGGGTGCTAGGGGAGGTTTGGAGCCCTGCCCTGCATGGGCGTGTGGCCTCGTGGGGATTTAGCCACCCTGAAAGTAAGCAGAGACTCTTGCTGGAGCTGAGAGCCCTGGCATTGGGGTTGGAACCCCGAGAAACAATTCGGGGAAAGCTGTACTCCACTTCAGGAAAGGCTGGGCACCCATTTCGGGGCCAGGCCTTGCCCCCACTCAGGGCAAGACTCAGAGTTGAGTCTCTAAGAACTACATTACGTTTTGAGAAAGCCTTGGAACTTAGGATGAAGTTAATTACAGAGAATGGAAATGTTATCTGTCCCTTTACTCTGTCCCTTTTAGGAGAGAGACAGGGGGCTGATCAGGGACTACTTCAAATCTAGGGCCCGAAGGGAACAATCTCCTAAACCTTGCTCGGAATGAAAGGCTGGGAAGGACGTGGGAGAGGAAGCGCGTCTGATGGCAGAAAAGAGCCCTGGGGGATGCCCCGTCCCTGTGTATATCCACCAAAGTTCTTAGCAAAGGGGCTTGAAATTCTTGTTTCAATATGACTTTCCCACCTCTCCTCTCTATGGGTAGCAGTGAGGAAAGAGCAAAACCCCGAAGAAGGAAGTACCCTTTGGTACCCTTAGGTTAATGAAGGGTCAGGCGCTGGCAAGGCTTCAGTGAGAGACGCGGTTAGGGGAATTAGGAATCGAAAGGGGATGGATAGAGGAGGAATATAGGGAAGAGACTGGCAGAGCGGGAATTCCACAGCGCTGTTCTCGTATCTCACTCACACCAGCTCTAAAGAAAACCATGAGACAGAAAGAAGAAAAGGAAAACAACAACAACAAAAACCCTCCACAAAAGCAAAAAAAGAAAACCTAACAAAAAAAAACAAAGAATATCACGAGAAGAAGCTAGTTTTTGCTTGATGGGGGAGGGAGAAAATGTAAAGGAAAGGCTAACTGGTACAGACATCATAATGTGATTCGGTTGGGATTTCATGTAATTTGAAAAGAAGCAGCAGTTCTCTTGGAGGTGAAGAGGATGGCAGAAAAGGAAGAATCACAGGACCGGGAAATAGGATGGTTCACTGGCGGGGAGCAGGCCGCAGCGTTCCCCCAGGAACGGTCGCTGTCGGTTTCAAGTATAGGTACCTAGTAAATGCACCTTTAGATTTGTTGGTATTGATCACTCTTTCTCCGTCTTTGTCTGAAAGCTTTAACTTATGTTATAGGGTGCTACATGGATTATCTTTGCTTCTGAGAATTTACCTTGAAAAAGTCATTTGTTTTTATGCCAACAGTGAGGAGGAACGGGAGTTGGTTCTAACAGGGATGTTGACCCTACTATATCCATAGATTTATTTCTCAAGTAGCAGTTCAGACTCTTGATTTTAAGCAAAAGAAATGTGAGTGCTGCCAAAGACGGTAATGTAGTAACAGGATGTAAAAGAAAAAGGGCTTTCATGAATATTTTTTTTCCTCTCAGTTTTTCTCCCTGAGCATTTTAGGGCTAAGCAGACTAATTTTATGCAAACTAAAATGTAAAGTCTTGGATCTTTTCAATATAGAAATGATAGCATTTCATGTATCACTGAATCTTTTTGTGAAAGAACCTCTCCAAATGCTTTATTTAGTGATCAGACAAAAATGAGAATGAAAGAAAGACCTGGGTAACTGACGACAGCTATGATCCAGGTAGATTCCTTGAACCATTCTACTGTTTTTAAAAGAGCATTAACATATTAATGGAAATGTTTTTTAAAACACATTTCGAGTGTAAACTAGAGTTACACATTTGGAAGATTTCTACACATGTGTGTTGTTCTTTGGTTTCCCCAAAGTGCATGTCGCTCTCTCGTTTTTTATTAGATTCTGAACAGATTAGGCTGGTGAACGAGAGTGGCGTTCATGCCAGATGGCTTGAAAATATGCTAAGATGGAAAACGTAAAATGTGTCTGCACTGGGAACCCTGATTAGTAGATGCGTTTCCTTATAGCAAACTGATTATTTCACCAAATTTGGTGGACTGTCCATAAATGATGTACCAGTTATTTCCTCTTTTATGATACTGGTACTATAAGTTTTTTGAAATAAATGTGAATGAAGTCTTCCAAATTTTTAAATAATGAACTCAGTAGCATAGGTGAGGTGGGTTCACTTCGGAGACTTTCTCCCTTTTGTGTTATACTTCACATTAATACTGAAAAGTGATGTTATGATGTATTACACATTTTCTTTCATGTAGTGTTAGTTGGGCACAGTAATGTGATATTTGGGGCTAGTTCGCTTTCAATTGTAGCTTTATTCTTAAATGGAAGAACTCTTAAATTATTAAAATGATAACATGTAGCTAAGGAAATAACCTTCTATTTATGTTATAGCATTGTGGATTTGGGCTCAAAAGACTGTTGTTATTTGGATATTAACAGCGTAGTCATGAATTAACCAGACTTGCCTGACTGAAGTTACTGATTACTAATGAAGGTATATATTTGAGTTTACTTTTATACAGTTAATTTTTAGAGTAAATACTTAGGTCATTTTTTTAGGTAGTTGCCAGGTTTGGGTCTTAAAGAATATTTAATCTTTCTGGTTTATATCACCACTATTCCACAATGTATTTAAGCAGTATAAAAATGGTACTGGATACCTTTGGCCTAAACTATATGATGATATTCTTTGGAAAAGAAATGTATGTAAGCCGTTGAAGAATGACACTTATTCAAGGGAGTCAAAAATTGAGTAATTCCTATTTTATGCAGAATTTTTGTTTTCATTTTTTAGATTTACATTTTTTCAAACATCACGGCTTATTTAAGAAAATTGAAACACTGATGTGGTAGACACATCACATACATATTTATAATTTTCAGTAACCACTTTGTCACTAAATTGTAGTGATTTCATATTTCCCAGAGAATTTCTGACTTGTTTTTCCCCTTCCTAAAAGTCTTTCTCTTTTTTGGTTATTGGGAAGAATGAAAGGAGGTAAAAAGATTCTGATGTTTCTAACAAAGCTTTTTACACATATTATGTTTAGCTTCTACGAAAGTTTCTTTACTTTCCAATATTGTCAAAGAGAAGTTTGTTAAAACTTTTCCCGGTATGGACTACCCTTGGGAGTGGGGGATGGTGAAAGGACAATCTCTATTCATTACTGTAAGATTTTTTATATCAGGGGTTTGTTAGTTCTGTGAAGCACCCCTTAAAACGTATCATAGGCAAATGACTCCCCTTGAAGCCAAGGTCAGAGAAAATATGTGTACGTTGGGGTGGGGGGCGCTTTGTGATTGATCAATGTCTGCCTGTTAAAGCCAGCTTGTTCTAGCATTGCTTAATATGATCAAAGGTGTGAAATGGAAAATAAAATTACTTCCCAGACTTTTAACATATTGTATACTTTTCAACATTTAACAGTTTTAAACAAAGACTTCCTTTATTCTATAAGTTAAAGTTAATACCTTAAGAAAAGGTCAGAAAAATCTTAATTGTGGGTTTATTAATGCCAGGAAATACTCCAAACACTTTACATGTATTATTTTTTTGAGTCCTCACAGCAACCCTATTAAATAGGCACTCTTAATAGCTCCACTTTACAGATGAGAGGGCTGTGGCCCAGACAGGCTCAGTCACTTGTCAAGGGCCACACAGTGAGTAAATGATGGAGGCGGAATTTGAACCCACGCAGTCTGCTTCGAGAGCCCAGCTCTTCATCTTCATTTACAATCCATCTTCTACTGCCAGAACAACTCATCTATTTTATTGTAGAATGTACATGTTCTAGATGACTCCTTTAATTTTTGAAGTTCACTCTAATCCTAAATTTTAAAAAGGTACTGTGAATTAGCGAGAAATGTTCTAAAATAACCCAGTGTCAGGAACTGAAATGACATTAGGCAAGTATGCTTTTCACCCAGAAGTATTGACGAGCTCATTTGTTGCTCCTCTAGTTGTCTCGCGCCTTCACATGTCTTGGCAGCTCTTGTCAGGAGACTCCCATTTGGTAAAACATCTGAGACTTACTGTGTGATTTAAAAGTGGGTTCATCCCTGGCTGGTGTGGCTCAATGGATTGAGCGTGGGCCTGGGAACCAAAAGGTTGCTGGTTGGATTCCCAGTCAGGGCACGTGCCAGGGTTTCAGGCCAGGTCCCCAGTAGGGGGTGTGCAAAAGGCATTGATGTTTCTCTCCCTCTCTTTCTCCCTCCCTTCCCCACTCTCTAAAAATAAATAAATGAAATCTTTAAAAATAAAAAATAAAAGTGGGTTCAAATAGGTTACTAATTTCCTATAACAGTAATAATTCATTTTGGAAAATAACCTCCCCTCTTTGGCAGCTGTTTCCTATCTTCTCTTCTAGTCCACATCCTTATGGGCGGATGGCTAAAGAGAGGCAGAACGAGGAGATACCAGGAGATGAAATTGTAGAATCCCAGGCTGCAGAGATAACAGGATGCTCCACTGTGCTTACCAGGAAAATGCTCTTTTGCTTTTCATGAAATTAGTGTATCTATTCAGCTTAAGCTTTAACTTAACCTACACGTATTTTACTAAAGGATTAGTGGATTTACATTATTTCTTGGCTTAAGAGAGATCTTGTAAACTTGTATATAATAATAGCAAAAGTCAAAGGAAAGGTATTAGGGGAAAATCATCTTCCTGAATATTCATTCACTGTGGTTACAGAGTTTCAGTGCTTAAAGAACAACAACAGTGATTCAACACTTCAAAAGCATTATTTTTGTTATTTAATAACAGAAACAACTATAGTTTCTATTAAATTTTCCTGATAGGTTTAACTCTGAGTGATAAACCACAGCATTTTTGGATACAAATCTGAGTTTGCAGTGAATGGTTTTCAGTTTATTTATACTATTAAATGTTTCACAATGTATTCATTGAGAAACCATTTGGTCATAGCTTTCTTGCAAAAAGGAAATAGTTAAACACCAGTCATTCCACTAGATACCACATATGTGTGGGTAGAGTATCGCTAGTTTATTTAAGTATTACTGGCTAATTGCCAGCATTGATAATCCATTGCATTCCAATTAATACATAGTAAATTTGGATACAGATATTAGTAAGTTTATATGTAAACACAGAAATATATACCTCTTCCCAACTCTTAGTTTAACTAAGTTTTATAAGTTTTGTGTAGTAACCGTTTATAATTCCCTGTTTCTTAATCTTAGCTTTCCTATTGATATTCTGCATATATTCATATTTTGAATGTTTTTTACTGACTGAAAATAGTATAATAATGACTTGGTTGTTTTATGTAATGTAGAATTTTTTAAAGTGTAGTTTTCAATTTTTGTGTTTCTTACTCATATTGGGTTTGACATCTAGATGATTCTTTTAAAGTTTCTATGAGGAAATAAGTTTTTTTCAAAGTTACATTTATTTTTAAAAAGCCGAGGCATAAACTTTAAAGTTTCTTAACTAAGACTAAATCAAATTTAGAATAATAAAGTGATATTACCTTTTTTGTAGGAGATGGCAGATAGGTACTTTGGACCTGTTGGTAATGATGGCCTGAGCTAAAAGCATCTCCTAATTTGAAGGGACACCCTTCCGTGTCAGAGAACAGAATGCTGAGGAAGCCGTGGCAAGTACGTGTTCCATTGTTCTGGTAAGGTAGAACTCAGGGACTGAATGTGCTCAACTCAGATCCCGTGACACTGTATTTGGCCAAAGTTTTAAAAGCTTTTCTTTAAAAAGCAGCAGATATTTTCCTCGCACTTTTTAAAGAAATGTACTTTTGCCATGACTGGTGTCACTCCGTGGGTTGGACATTGGCCTGCAAACCGAAAGGTTGCCGGTTTGATCACCGGTCAGCACATGCCTGAGTTGCGGGCCAAGTCCCCAGTTAGGGACTTCCAACAGGCAAATGATTGCTGTTTCTGTACCTCTCTTTCTCAAGACAGTCAAATTCAAGTATTAGGGTGAATACAGACAAGAATGAATGTAATCAAAATGAAAGCATCTATGAAATTGTGGCCAAGGTAATCTAACTTTAAAAATATGGGAGTATTGGATGCTTCCGATGTCAAAGGAAGCAGCACCATACTTCATAATAAATCTGTGTGCTATGTTTATCATTGAGTTTTCAGTTGATACTGGCCGAGACCCTTGTGTTGCAGGCACTGTGTCCGGTGCTGTGGTAGCAGTGCTGACCAGACAGGTGAGGGCCCTGCGGGCAGAGACGCCCAGTGTGGGGACAGGGGCCCAGCTGTCTCTCCGTTCCTTCGCCCAGATCCAGGAAAAAGTTTCAAGGACAATTCCTGAAAATATATTTTCAATACATAATCTATTAAAAATAGTTAATTATGCCCTGGCTGGTGTAGCTCAGTGGATTGAGCGTGGGCCTGCAAACCAAGGAATCATGGTTCAATTCCCAGTCAGGGCACATGCCTGGGTGCAGGCCAGTTCCCAGTGGGGGACACATGAGAGGCAACCATACATTGATGTTTCCCTCCTTCGCTCCTTCTCTTCCCCTCTAAAGATAAATAAATAAAATCTTTTTAAGAAAGTAAAAATGAAAATACTTAGTTATAATTATAAAGTTAGGATATGAATCAAATACTTTAATTTAGGTTAAACATACTATATTTAAATATTCAAATATATTTTTACATAATTATTTCTATTTTATTTATCTGATATTATTAGCTTTCGTAAGAATAATTAGATTAGATACTATACTGTTTGAAATATTTATATTTTAGTTCAATTGTTAGAGTATTCCAGAAAATACCAAGAAGGATTACATAACCATTAATATGGTTGTTCACTTTTTAAAAAAATTGATGAGTCCTTACAAGTTGACATTACCGGTCTAACTAATTACTATTATATTTCAAAGTATTTTTAAAAATGGAATGATTATATCCTAAGTGAAATAAGTAACAATTACTGTTTTTTATAAGGAGCAAGATAACAGACAGATGAATGGTTTTTCGGCCTCAATGATAATCTCACTTGGAATCAAGAATAGCATTCTTGTGTGAGGCTGTCTGTGAAAGACTTAACACACCTCCTTGAGAAAAGTAGAGGAAAAACTATTTTCAGCAGAAAATTACTTTAGGGTCATAAACTTAAATTTCAAAAATAGGAGATTGCATTATAGTGCTAGTTTATGTATCACTCTCAGTACCTTACATACCTGCCGACATGGCAACAGAAGGTAGAAACCAGGACGTTACCGCCCTGGGAACCTTCAGAAACGCACTTCACTCCTCAAATCTGCGGGCAGAGCTTGCCAGGAGAAGTCTGTCAGCTTGGATTCTTCTTTTAATCTTTAGCAGTATTAAGGTCAGCTTTCTCAGGTGGAAAAAAACAGGAAAGAGGATAGAGTTTCTAAACCTTTAAGCCTTAATTAGCATCAACAAAGAGATCTTCTGAAATTAGATTATCTTTGGCCACAATTTCTTAGATGCTTTCATTTTTATTACATTTATTTTTGTCCATATTCACCTTAATACTTGAAGTTTGGTTGCCTTAAGGCCAGTTTGGAAATTTTCTTGAGGTTTCTCTTTTAGTTAAAAATTCTAGATACAGTAGTTTTTAAAAACATTTGTTGTGGGTATAAATTTGGGTTGTCAAATTTCTCATTTGTGAAAATTTCTCAAAATTTTTAAAAGAACTTAACTGCTATTTCTAAATATTTTTATATTTTAGCTTCAAAAAGTGCCTCAAGAGTGTAAAGACCAAAATGTTTTTGTTTGTGTTAATTTGATACCATTATTCTTTGTTTCTACTATTACTTAAGACATTCTGTGACTTTGGTGGGTTTCTAACTTTTAGTTTTAATACAAACATGTAAAAATAAGTATTTTCAGCTGGCTAAACAGAACTGTGACTCAGGGAGGGAGAAGTGAAACTAAATAAAATACTGGGTCCAAAGAATTTTCAGTGTATGTATGAATACATATGCCAAATGATTCTCAGTTTGTGTATTTTAGCTACCCGAAGAACGGTTTTATTTAGTTGGTACTAGGTCAAAACTAACATGATCTTTAAAAATTATGGTTATCTTCTAAATGTTCTTATTTGACCCAGAATTGGTATAAAAAACAAAGTTTGTTTTTATTCACATAAAACCTTACCAAAATAACATTCTTTTGTGGCTAACTAGGCCAATAAACTATCTGTTAATCATTTAATTTGAAGTATAAGACAGCCAAAAAAAATAGAGGCTTGGAAATTCGGTGTAGTTATGGCTCTGCTTAACTATAAAAAAATTTGGACCTTTTTTAAAAAAGTATTAAGCATAGAATTTGAAACAGTCCCTCACTTTTTACTGTGCATTCCACTGAGAATGTATGTTTTAATTTCAGTAAAAATGTAACATCATTAAACTGTAGTTTTCTCTTGGAAGGAAAATAATGATTCCAAGTTCAAATCTGCATTTGCTTTCTTGTAAAGACTAGTTCTTTGAATGAATTTATCTTTTTTGTTTCATTCTTATATAGTCCACAAATTGAGATATACAGTATTCATGCATAAAACTGAGTTGTCACAACAGAATTACAGATGTTGGTAAATGTTTGTTGAATATTTATTGCTCAGTTTTATAAGTAGAATGTTTTATATTTGAAGCTGTTTTAATATTCTAATGGCTAAGGTAATTTATTAGTAAGGATTTTACCATTGAAAGTAATCAACCATAAAGCAAGCACAGTTGTTCTTTATAGCTCCTCTGTAAATGAGTGCTTAGTGAAGTATAATTTATGTTGTAATACTCAATACAGATGTATTTTAAAGGGTTTTTCTCAGCAAATATTATTGAGGCCTTGACAGGCACTGTGTTTGGCCCTGGGGAGCGCTAAACAGACATTCTTTCTGACCATGTAAGAACTGCTATTAGAACTGTCCAAAATTTTTATACTATGACGAAATAAATTTTGTTTTCATTAAATGCTTTTCTGGAGAGAAATTATGTTGTAATAATTTTGACGAGTTAAGAATTGTTAGTTGATTAAGGGACAACCTAGCCTCAGGAAAATCAACCAGGATGCAGGTGGAACCTTGGAAATGGTCTTGGTCTAGACCCAAACCTGGAGATCATGGGTGCTCCTGAGGTTCTTACAGACAGTCTGACTTCTCAGGCCTGGGGCAGGAGCTCCAAAAAATACCTGGAATACACCTAAGTGCTATACAGAAAGGACCACAGAAATATTTTAGTGTATTTGCAATTGTAAGGCCTTGAAACTATTGTTCGTTGTATTTTATAATAAAGCAAAGTTATAGCAATATTAAAGAAAACTTGTAACTCTGGCTGGTGTGGGTCGGTGGACTGAACACCAGCCGGCAAACCAAAGGGTTGCCAGTTCAATTCCCAGTCAGGGCACATGCCTGGGTTGCAGGCCAGGTCCCCAGTTGGGGGCATGCAAGAGGCAACTGACTGATGTTTCTCTCCCTGTCTTTCTCCCACCCTTCCCCCCTCTGAAAATACAGAAATAAAATATTTTTTAAAAAAGAAAGAAAACTTTTAAATACTACAACATAAAAATTTCACCCATCTCATGTGAAAAAATGTATTTTTTATATTCTCATCTTGTTTTTGTCCATACGCATATTTTCTCATAGTTATTTTTATAATATGCAGATTTTTATTTTTAAAAATTTTAACAGCAAATGGGTATTGTTTCATATTCCTTAATTAGTCTTTTGTTTTCATTTTTGTTTTTTTTTAACATTTCTCCAGCTTTATTGAGGAATGACTGACATACAATTAATTGCTCATGTTTAAAATGTATGATTTCTTAATTTTGGCTTAATTACTCTTTATTATTTTTAATGGCAGTATAAAAACTAATTGACTTGATCAGTTATTTTTTAACATTTCTCTACTGAAAGGTTAACTGAAAATAGTTTTCCAGTGTCATTTTCTTCACAGTGCTGGATGCACGTAGAACACGAGTTTCCCTTAATTGGCAGACTTCACTTTAATTGTGTTTTAATTGTAAAGCCACTTCACTGCTCAGTTGTGCAACTGAACTCTAACCCCTTTTTGCAGGTAAATAGTGCACGTTTCCCCAGATTGATTTTGAGCTCTGTTTCCAGTTGACCTTCAAATAGAGGACAAAACGTCTGTCAGCCGATGGTGATTTCTATATGGCAGTCGCCCTGTCCCAGCCCCACGGCACTTCAATGACAAAGAAGGTGAACGGGAACTACAACATAGAAATGTGTATTCTATATTTTTACCCCTTCTGCTTTTTCACTCAATTTGTGTGGCTTGTCAGCTGATTAAGTTCCTTGACAGAGAGATGAAGGGAAAGAGAACACCACTAAACAAGTAGTATTTCTTCATCTCCCAAAGTAATTTTTCAAGGACTGGAAAATAGCATTAATTCGTTATCTACTGTGTATCAGAGTGTGTGAAGCATTTCATTTCATCAGCGTCTGAGGTAGATAGCAGCATCTCATTTTCTCCAAGGCAGCCCTCTCTTTCATTTCTAGAAGCCTCCTACAGCGTGCTCATACACCACAGTTCCCAGTACTTCCTCTCTCATTGCCCTGATCCTGGTTGTTCTAAGTAACTGCCTGCTGACCTCTCCTGTGTTCACCTGCTAGTACCTGGCCGACCAGAGACCATTTGTCTTGGTCCCCGCTGTATCTCTAGTACCTATATGCGCCTGGCACATGGCTGCCATTCAACAAGTCGTTGTTGAATGAATGCGTTGAGTTGGAGAGTCTTGGTTTTATAGGTGGGAAAACTGAAGTTAATACTGAAAAACTTTTCCAATCATCTAACTACCCAGTAACAGAGGAGACTCCAAAACCGTGGTTTTACGGTACACCATAGTGCCTCTATGAATTTATCCCTCTGGGCCTGGGTTCCTTCTTTTATAAAAACGGGGTGATTATATTGAGACCCCCAAATGATGACTCTTTATGAGAATACCAAGGGTGGTTTGGTTTGTGCTTTGGTTTGTTTTTAGGCTATATACTATATAGGTATTACAATAGAATTGAGTCATTAGACCAAATATTGAGGCTGTTTTGGGAATTTTCAGTCTTCCTTTAGAAATTTGTTAAATAATAAACTGACTCTGGTTTCATTAGCCAAATGTGAGCAAACAGTTTTAGGAGGAAAGAGGAAAGAGTATATAGTTGGGTATAGAATTAACCTGAGGTTGAAGCAATCTGTAATACCCAAGCTAATCAGATTTTTAGGCTTTGTGTTATTGAAGACTCTGTTTTTAAAAAGCCTTTCTTTCAAGTAGCTTATCTAAATCAAATTATATGGCCAAGACCAATGCTTTTAAAAGAAAAGGCACAATTGTGCATATACATCATTAGATTGTAATATAACATATGAATGTTTTGTAATTTTCATGACTTTAGCAAGAAATATTTAAGCTTTTCAAATTTGTTTATGTCTGCTTAAATTCTTATGAACTGACCATTCTGAGAAAGAGAAATAAAAGTTATTATTTGGTAGCATATTCCTATTTTTATGCTAGATAAGAAATAAGTGTAGCCAGAATAATAAAGCCACCTTAGCTCCTCAGGTTTCCCTTCTGTGTCTCCTACAGGAACTGGCTATTTCATTCTGCACCTGGGTGCCTGCCCCAGGCTTAACCTTCTGCAGTGACACCTGAAAGGACACATGAAATTCACTTCAGATTAGTTTTCAAATTTCATGGCTCAGCAGTGGCAAGCTGGGGAGGATTTTTGATGAAACTGATATATTGTCTTGAAAGTGGTTATGTTTTTAAGGCAAAGGCTTTCCAAACACATCTTGAAACCCACCAGAGGTGGAAGTGGGGATTGTGGGGTCCACGGAATGGGGCCCCGGGTAGTTCAGCCTCTATTTCTCCAGTCAGACAGCTCTTTTTTCCTGTTTTGGGCTGGGGCTTCTCATAGAATTTGTCAGAAGAAAGGGCTCCCCTGTTTAAAACAAAAAGTTTGAAAACCACCACTTTCAGGAAAGGCAGTTTCAGGAAAAAAACTGTATTTGACATTTTTTTTAAATTCCACTTTTTAATTGCAGTTTACAATCAATATTATTTTGTATTAGTTTTAGCTGTACAGAATAGACAATCATATACTTCACAAAGTGATTCCCCCCACTATTTTCAATATCCACACGGCACCATACACAGCTTTACAATACTGTTGGCTGTATTCCCCATGCTGGACTTTCCTATGACTGTTTTGTAACAACCAATTTGTACTTCTCAATCCCTTCACCTTTTTCACCCAGTCCCCTAAGCTCCCTCCCCTCTGGCAGCCATCAGCATGTTCTCTCTGTGAGTGTTTGTTTTCTTTGTTTATATTTTTCTTTAGATTCCATGTATGTAAGTTAAATCATATATTTGTCTTTCTCTGACTGACTTATTTCACTTAGCATAATATTCTCTAGGTCCATCCATGCTATTGCAAGTGGTAACATTTCATTCTTTTTTATGGCCAAGTAATATTCCATTGTATATGTTTACCACCGCTTTTTTTATCTTGTCTATTGATGGGCACTTGGGTCGCTTCCATTATCTTGGCTATTATAAATAATGCTGCAATGAACATAGGGGTGCATATCTCCTTTTGATTTAGTGTTTGGGGTTTTTAAAAACTGAATACTTTTTTTCTTTTAGAGTTTATTTATTTTAGAGGGGAAGGGAAGGAGAGAATGAGAGAAATATCAATGTGTGGTTGCCTCCCGTGCGTCCCCTGCTGGGAACTGGCCTTCAACCAGGCATGTGCCCTGACTGGGAATTGAACCTCAGTTGTTTGGTTCGCAGGCCCGCGCTCAATGCACTGAGCTACACCAGCCAGGACATATTTTGGGTTTTCGGATATATGTCAATATCAAGAAATAAGCGCTGGGTCATTAAAGACAGTTCCATTTTTTAATTTTTTGAGGAACCTCCATAGTATTTTCTATAGTGGCTATACCAATCTGCATTCCCACCAACAGTGCAAAAATGTTCCATTTTCTATATCCTCACCAGCACTTGTGTGTTGATTTATTGATGATAGGCATTCTGACAGGTGTGAGGTGGTATTTCATTGTGGTTTTATTTGCATTTCTCTGATGATTAATGATATTGAGCATCTTTTCATGTATCTATTGGCCATCTGTATATCCTGTTTGGAGAAGTATCTTTTTGGGTCCTCTGCCCATTTTTAATGGGATTATTTTGGGGATGTTGTATGAATTCTTTACAAATTTTGACTATTAAAGCACTTATTGGAAGTATATCTTTGACTTTTAGCTCCTAGTAGGCCCTAATTAATACCAACACCTATCATCATAGAATGACAGTCACAAAACAGCTTACTCCCTGCCCTTCACTATTTTCTCCTTCACTGTCAAACACAGGGGTGCTGCTCATTTGGATTTCTTCATTCACCTAAAGCTGTTTGAGGGATTCCCTGTTTGTAATGACCAAGAAATGATCAAACAGCTGTGTTAACACTTGAAGTAGTGATGTCCCTATTGAATTGAAGAGGGGAGGTGGAATTACCTTAGTTTATGTCATGAAGAGATAGTTTCCAATTTCAGATTTCCTAAAATCCCTTAGAAATCAAAGACATTTTATAGGGAGGGGAAAAAAGGACACCTCCGAGAGCAGGGAATTGGACTGTTGACACTGTTGTTATTACTAAACTGATGGCCTTTATTTTATAACGTAGGCACTCGGAACAGGTGCTTTGGGTCCAGCTCTGTTGCTTGGACCCATTACATAGTGTGTGTGGGAGTGATCTCAGCAAGGAGGACCCTGCCCCCTTCAGAGGCAGGGATTCTCTCTCTGGACCGCACTGCTCCCTAAGAGTGTTTCTCCCTTTCCTGAGTCAGCATTCCTCCTCCCTAGACCTGGTTTTGCTTTGTAATCTTTGAAGTAAACAACTTCTCAGTTCAGCTAGGACAAAGAGTATGCCAGTAAACAAATAGTTCTCATTTGTGGTAGAGAGTAAGAGCCCTTACTCGTTTCATTCACTTTTATTTCATGTAGACTTCAGAAGCACATCAGTGTCAATGGATTAAGCATAAAAATTTTATTTGAAATATTTTTAAAATGTGTTTGTATGAATATAATGCACTTTTTTTTTGATGCTTTAAGGTCATTCATATGACTTTCAGGTACTGTTCTCTACAGTGATGCCCTCGTGGCATATTGAGTTTTTTGTTTTTAAGATTTTATTTATTTATTTTTAAAGGGGAAGGGAGGGAGAAAGAGAGGGAGAGAAACATTGATGTGTGAAACATCGATCAGTTGCCTCTCAAATGTGCCCCAACATGGGACGGAGCCCACAACCAGGGCATGTTCCCTAACCAGGAATCAAACTATTGACCTTTCGCTTTGTGGGACAATACTCAACCTACTGAGCCGTGCTGGTCAGGGCTAGTTTAATTTTTTTATTTCTTTTTTTATTCTCACCCAAGGACATTTTTTTCATTGTGTTTAGAGAGAAGGAAAAGATGTGGGGGCAGAGAGAGAAACATTGATCTCATATGCTCCCTGACCAGGGTACAAGCCCTAACTGGGGATTAAACGCACATACTGGATATGCGCCCTGACCAGGAATCAAACCCACGACCCTTCAGTCCATGGGACGATGCTCCAACTGAGCCACACTGGCCAGGACATGTTGAGTTTTGTAAGATGGTTTTCTTATTCTTTGTGGCTCAAAATAATAAAGCCCTACTTTCTGGCTGCTTATATGAAGAGGGGAGACAGAAATGAACAAGAAGTTGTCCAAGATAGCTCAGCTGGGAGAGCATTAGGTTAAAGACATAAAGGTCGTTGGCTCAGTCCAGAGTTTCAGGGGCTTTATTATATCTCAATAAAGCTATTACTTAAAAAAATAATGAAACACATCACCTATAATGAGGAGTAGGTTGTGGGACAGAAATGCAACATTTCTCTCCTCCAACACAGTCAATAGTAGACTAGAAAACAGACTGGGGAGGAAGCCAGGCCAAGTTAAAACAAGGTAAACTGTAAGGCGGACAGAGAGATCCTCCCACCAAGTGAACAAACGTGCGCTCTGGCACAAGGGCCAGCCTGCGTTGAGTGTCCCAGGAATAGCAATCGTCTCTGCTGTGCTTAAAGTGTAGGGAAACAGGAGTCAAGAGAGTTGGCAGGGGACTGATGGAAAGCTCAACCTCCAGAGAGAGGTTGTGGAGGGGACTATGTATAGCTTCAGGAGTTTGGACTTTATTCTTTCACAAATTTTAAGTCAGGAGACTGATATGATTAGATGCATTTTATAAATTCTGGTAGCATTGTGGGAAATGATTAAGAATGTTTCTGAAACTTTGATCATTCATATTCTGTCTTCGCTTCTTTGCCATACTTGGGTGTGCTTTGGGGATGATGAGGTAGACCAGTAAGGAGAGGTCATAACTGATGGATTGAGTCTATTACACATTTAATGGTCGTAGTCCCTGAGTATCTGCGACTGCTTTTTATAGTTTTAAAGTTCCTCCCTTGTTAACATATTATCATCTCACACTGATAATAGTCTTGCCAAAGCAAACTCTTTCCCTAACTTCCCTTCCAATATATAGCTAGCTGAAAAATGCAAATAAACAAGCCTGTGGGCTGACTGACCCATGAATACCGTACATGACCTTCAGTGAGCTGGCTTGGAGACATCTATTTTGATCCTTAGAGGACTTTTTTCCCTGGGTCTGGTCTTATTCGAGATTTTTATAACTGAGCAATCCAACAACTTCATATGAGTGAAATATAACTGTAATTTGTTTAAAAGATCCTAATCACTCATTTAAAAACATTTTTAAATTTATTTTAATGTAGGTGATTGGAGTTGTGCTTCAAAAATTTCAGCAGTTCAACAGTATTTTATCTGCCAACAATAAGCTCTTTACTTGATTGCACCATGAAAAAGCTGCTAACAAGACTTGTTGAGCACAAAAGCAGACTTGAAGAACCAAAAGCCATTGTTTTCAAATGAAGAATACGGAACGATTTTCAGCCTCGGTGCTTTTTAATCACCACTGAGGTTTTTCCCATAACAACAGAATGGCAAGCAGGCGAAAATCAACAACACCCTGTATGGTCCTTGCCAGTGAACAGGATCCGGACCTTGAGCTGATATCAGATTTGGACGAGGGACCTCCTGTCCTCACGCCTGTGGAAAACACCAGAGTAGAGAGCGTCTCAAGTGACGAAGAAGTTCATGAATCTGTGGATTCTGACAATCAGCAAAATAAAAAGGTTGAAGGTGGCTATGAATGTAAATATTGTACTTTTCAAACTCCAGACCTAAATATGTTTACTTTTCATGTGGATTCAGAACATCCCAACGTAGTGCTAAATTCTTCCTATGTTTGTGTTGAATGCAATTTTCTTACCAAAAGATATGATGCACTTTCTGAGCATAATCTGAAGTACCACCCAGGAGAAGAGAATTTTAAGTTGACTATGGTGAAACGAAATAACCAGACAATCTTTGAACAAACCATAAATGATCTGACCTTTGATGGTAGTTTTGTTAAAGAGGAGAACTCGGAGCCAGCTGAATCTACGGAATTTTCTTCTTCAGGAATATCTATCAGTAAAACTCCTATCATGAAAATGATGAAAAGTAAAGTGGAGAACAAACGGATCACAGTCCATCATAACTCGGCTGAGGATGCTCCCGAAGAGAAAGAGAAGGAGGTCAAACCAGACCGCGAAGAAACTGTGGTGAGTCCAAGTTCTTCGGCTTCTGAATCTAATACCAGTACTTCCATTGTCAACAGAATACACCCGAATGCTGCCGGCACGGTAGTGACCCCAGCGGCAGTTCTTCCCGGGTTAGCACAGGTAATAACCGCTGTGTCGGCCCAGCAGAATTCCAGTTTGATCCCCAAAGTCTTAATCCCTGTTAATAGCATTCCTGCCTACAATGCTGCATTGGATAACAACCCTCTTTTGCTTAACACCTACAACAAATTCCCTTATCCAACGATGTCAGAAATTACTGTGCTTTCTGCTCAAGCAAAATACACAGAGGAACAGATCAAGATCTGGTTCTCAGCCCAACGCCTAAAACATGGTGTGAGCTGGACTCCCGAGGAAGTAGAGGAGGCAAGAAGAAAGCAATTCAACGGAACAGTACACACTGTACCTCAGACCATAACTGTTATTCCGACACATATTTCCACAGGGAGTAATGGCTTACCATCCATTTTACAGACATGCCAAATAGTTGGTCAGCCCGGCCTGGTCCTCACACAAGTAGCTGGACCGAACACCTTGCCGGTAACAGCACCGATAGCCTTGACCGTGGCAGGGGTGCCAAATCAAACCAGCATACAGAAAAGTCAGGCCCCTGCCGCTCCGCCTCCTGCAGAAACAAAGCCAGCAGCAGCAGCAGCAGCAGTACCAGCTCCTCAGCTTGTCAAACACGAAACCGCCCTGGCAAACCCCGATTCATTTGGCATTCGGGCAAAAAAGACTAAAGAGCAACTGGCAGAATTAAAAGTCAGCTACCTTAAAAATCAGTTTCCCCATGACTCGGAAATTATCAGACTTATGAAAATCACAGGCCTGACAAAGGGGGAGATTAAAAAGTGGTTTAGTGACACGAGGTACAACCAGAGAAACTCCAAGAGTAATCAGTGCTTACATCTCAACAACGATTCCTCCACCACCATCATCATAGACTCCAGCGACGAAACCACGGAATCCCCAACTGCTGTTACTTCGCAGCAGAAACAGTCCTGGAACCCTTTCCCAGACTTTACACCCCAGAAGTTTAAAGAGAAGACAGCAGAGCAGCTTCGGGCCCTTCAGGCCAGTTTTCTCCACAGCTCCGTACTGACAGATGAAGAACTAAATAGGTTACGAGCGCAAACCAAACTGACCAGGAGGGAAATTGATGCTTGGTTTACGGAGAAGAAGAAATCAAAAGCTTTAAAGGAAGAGAAAATGGAAGTAGATGAAACTAATGCAGGTAGTTCCAAAGAAGAGGTGGGAGAAACTCCTCCTGCAGATGAATCCGCCGCACCTAAGTCAGGGAGTACAGGCAAGATCTGTAAAAAGACACCTGAGCAGCTGCACATGCTCAAAAGCGCGTTTGTCCGAACACAGTGGCCGTCACCGGAAGAGTATGACAAGTTGGCCGAAGAAAGCGGGCTTGCTAGAACAGACATAGTTAGTTGGTTTGGGGACACCCGTTATGCTTGGAAAAATGGGAACCTAAAATGGTACTACTATTACCAAAGCTCCAATTCAAGTGGTATGAACGGTCTGTCTTCCCATAGGAGAAGGGGGAGAGGGAGACCCAAAGGAAGGGGGAGAGGAAGGCCCCGGGGGCGGCCCCGAGGAGGCAAGAGAATGAACAATTGGGACAGGGGGCCGTCACTCATAAAGTTTAAAACTGGAACTGCGATCCTTAAGGATTATTACCTGAAGCACAAATTTCTCAATGAGCAAGACCTTGACGAACTTGTTAACAAATCACATATGGGCTATGAGCAGGTCAGAGAGTGGTTTGCTGAAAGACAGAGAAGATCAGAGTTAGGGATCGAATTATTTGAGGAAAATGAGGAGGAAGATGAAGTCATTGATGATCAGGAAGAGGATGAAGAAGAAACAGATGATAGTGACACTTGGGAACCCCCGCAACATGTGAAGCGGAAGCTTTCTAAATCAGATGACTGAAATGTAAGTGTTTAATCTGAGTGCACCTTCACCAACCACGCACATTTACAACAGCCACCTGCTGATCTGTATACCCACCTGTGACAGTTGTTTTCTGAAATAGTTTTTCTTTTACCTAATAAGAGAACTAGGTGCTAAGAGTATATAGCCAGCAAACCCATGATTATCATGTGTAGTCTGATTATTTTGTAGAGTTTAATGTTGCTTTCATTATTTATTTTTAAATGAAATTTTTCTACTTTGTTTCAAGTGCAAGCTACCCATTCTTTAAGAAGGGAGACTGGCAGGTGGGAGGGAATTCACAAAGATAACTAAAATGTATTTTTTGCAACCCTCCTTCAAATTTTTTGCCTATTATAAGGAAAGAATTCAAAAACGAAAACTAAAAAGAAGGGAATGAGTTTACTGAAGGAAAGGTTTGCCGCAGGGGTGAGGATTGCTCAGTTTTAGAAAACTAGGTGAAAATGGGTATCTTTTTTTATTCATTGTATCGCCCCCAAAATACTAGCTTTAACTAGAGTTTAAAAATGCTTTATGTATCAAAATTGCTCAATACTTTTTCTATTAAAAGCCAAAGGTCTGTTTGGGCTATATATAAATTCCATGTTTGCTTAGGTGACATCTGTTTTTGAAAACCGTAATAAAAATTATTTCTGTTTTAGAGGTCAAAAGGTAAACAACAGATTTGATATTAAGTTAACTCAATTGCCTAAAATGTATTTTCACTCTTTGATATAAAACAAACCTGCCACCAGCAGAAACACTATATTTGGTTAAAAATATGTCTCTGAGGTCATGAAAGTTCAAGTAAATATGCTTTAAATTTAAAGACTTGGTATATTCCTTAAATCTTCATTCTTTACGTTGGATTATATTAAAATTTCATTATAGCTGCAAATCAGATACCTGATTTGGAGTTAAGGACTTCAGTTCTTAATAGATTTAGAATTCAATAGCATAGTTTTCTTTTTTACTCTGGGTTTTTGAGTGTTCTAACAATGCCTTTGTCATGAAATACTGGTATATGTGTATCAGTAGTCCAAAGGCATCTTATCAGGAAGCACTGCGGCCTTGTCACACCGGAAAGGGGAGAAGAGGCACAGACCCTTATGACCATGTGAGCACATGTACTTATTTCCCTGGCTTTATGCATCCCCACCCCATCCTCTGCTGTTATGCTTTCTGATTCTGCACAGGATCTCCTTAATTCTCCCACATCTTCCTGCCTGCTTTTATTTTGTTAAAACAATTAACTTATAGACAGCTTCATATGTACCAGACACTATGCTGACTGCCAGCGGTCCTCTGCCACGGTTTTTTTTTTTTTCCATTAACATTTTTCTTTAGGCAGAGAAACAGACGAAACTAAAAATGCACCTACTTTTGAATAAACCTGTTCAGGTTAGATGGCAAGACGCATGGTAAGCCACAGCCTGACCCTGCAGCGCAGCCCCGCGGCCCTCCGCTTCCTGGCGTCGGAGGTCTTCAGGACAGGCTTTCTCCTGACCCAGACGCCAGAAATGATTTTAACAGGCATTTTTTTATTGCAAAACACAAGAGTGCACACTCAGCCGAGATTAAATCAACACAATTTTTGCCACAATGATTGTTGTAGTAGTAACTTCTGCAGTGATTTTGTAGGGAATTTCTGTCCTCTAAAACATAATGTGGACTTTTTTATGTAATTTAATTTGACCTTACTTTAAGTTTATGTGGATGATTCTTATGTATTAATACTCTAATAGGCACAATGGTAAAAAAATTTCACACAAAGCCACAGTTTTCAAAAAAAATTGTGTCATATGTGTACTTTTGTGGTACGTGTACAGGCTTGGCTTGCTTTTAAAATATGCCAAAGTCTAAAATTATAAGACATTAATTAGCAAGTTCTCATTGGCTTAACAGAATAATTTTTTCATCTTATAAAAGGATTCACCATAAGTTTCCTCTAAATGGTTACGTTTTCATTTAAATATGGTTTAACTTGCAAAAAAAAAGTAACCAAAACCTTTCCAAAACAGTTATTGCAAAAAGTGAGATACAGTAAAAAAAAGGCGAAAAGAGGCTGCCCCCTTTCCCTCGGGGGCTTGTTCTCGGACCCTCTGTGGATGCCCAACACTGCAGATAGTGCCAAGTCCTATACAAACTACTTTTTCTAGACACACATATCTATGATGAAGTTTAATTTGTTAATCAGGTACAGGAAGAGATCGACAGTAACTAATAATTATAATAACATACTGTAATAAAAGTTACGTGAATGTGGTCTCTCTCTCTCTCTGATAACCCAGAGAGCTACTAAGTAACAAACGAGTGTAAACAGTATGGATTTGCTGGACAAAGAGGACTCACATCCTGCAGAGTACAGAAGGGGATGCGGTGAGATTTCATCATGCTGCTCAAAACAGCATTCGATTTAAAACTTATGAATTGTTTATGTCTGGAATTTTCCATTTAATATTTTGGGACTGTGGTGGACCACAGGTAACTGAAACCACAGAAAGTGAAACTGGATAATGGGGATTTTACTGTACATCTGTGTCATTTGCACAAGCCAGCCTTGTACAGTAAGTCCGTGCTTAATGTCAGTAGGTTCTGTGACTTCAAGCGGCGTGACCTACAAGGAAACCAATCATACTGTAGGCAGACCGATGTAAACAAAAGTTAAGTTCCTGTAGCATCTCATCAATGTTACGATGAAACGATATTGAACAAATCAGTGTTATTCAAGGACCTGCTGTGTATAGGAAAAACATACAAGAGTTTAGATTTCATAGTTTGTTACAAATACAATGAAATATATACTTCCCACTAATAATTTTTAATAAGTTATTATATACAGGTGAAAATGCCTATAAGCAAATCTGGTTTATGTACACCATATCCATAGGAGTCGCACACAAAATCTAGTGCATTGTATAAGATCCGTGTGGCGTATACAGGGTCCGACAGAAGTAACGCCTGCTCGAGTGTGGTTGGTAGGGTAATAATATGGTGTAATAATTTATAGGTTTCTTTAAGATTTTATTTATTTATTTTTAGAGCGGGGAATGGAGGAAAAAAGGAAGGAGAAAAACATCAGCGTGTGGTTGCCTCTCACATGCCCCGCACTGGGGCCCTGGCCCACAAGCCCAGCATGTGCCCTGACTTAGGAATCCAACAGTGACCATTTGGTTCACAGTCCAGCACTCAATCCACTGAACCACACCAGCCAGGGCTTAATTTGTAGTTTTAATTGGAACATTTCATCTAAATGTCATAGGGTGTGCTTGAATATGATCTGTTACAGAATTACATGCTTATGATTTTGTAAGCTTTCGTAATAAAAAGGGTGTTACTTGTGCTGGACCCTGTATATAAGATATAGTGCATCTATATGATATATGAGTAACTACAGAGGATGTGTTTTCATGACTAATTTGTATCATTTTTGTTTCTAAAAGTGGTAAACATTAAAATATGGTTTTATTTAAATTTAGTTTTTTCATTATGTTTTTCTTTTATAGCCACCTAAAACATTGGAGGAGAATCAGTTCTTCAACTCAAGATGTCTGATTTACTGTGAATGGGCCCAATATTTAATGGCACTGAAAACGTTTGGGGGCGTACACATTCTCAAAAATAGGGTCCAGTACCCACACGAAATGGAACTTAATGTTGTGCCAAAGTTAAACTACTGCAGCTGGTGAAACTTCTGCAATGTAAATAGAACACTAATTTAAAGACGAATTGTAAAAATTCAGATTTTAATACAGTGCATTTTTATTCTGATATGGAGACATTCTGAATCTTAGACTTTCGAAGGGGGTTTAATGACCACTAGAGCTTGTCCTCATATTTTGTCCAGCGTAACACTGTACATCTAGAGTGATGGGCCTTATTGTCTGTATTCTTTGATATGTGATTAAGCTAATAGCTTTGAGTGACCAAACATTTTCCAGAGTAAAAATTGTTAGAAACAGGAAAAAGAAAGACCTGATTTATTTCTGTGTCTTATTATCAGGCCCTGCATGAAAATTAAAAGTTATGCATGGGCTTATCCATTCTCAATGTAAGTGAAAATACAGCCTATTGACACATGTTGGAACAATAAGGTTTTATGGTATTATTGGCTCTTAATTATGGGATCTTTCATAGACACCACTGTTACTACTTGTAATGCCTCTGTTACTTTTTTTAATTCAAAGCTGAATTTGCTTTTTATTAAACTGAAGATAATCAACACTGAAGAAGGAAAAGAAACTGGCAATAAGAATTAGGATAGGGTGAAACTCAGAAATAAATACTGTAACAATCATATGGCAATCAGAAATGTTTGTACCGGTGTCAGATCAGAATTTTCAAGAATTATCTTTCAGTGAATTTCTACTTTGTATAACAATCCCATTGAATAGAGGAAAAATTCTGAAATCACAATGAGTTAAAAGTTAGCTTTTCACTTATAAATCATGGACGTGTTCTTTGTTAACTCTTGCAGTGTCAGAAGACTGAAAGTATCTACTAACTTACAAACTTTGTAAAGACAGGTGCTGTTCATTGATGTTGAGAAGGACCCTTTCTTTTGTGATAGGACCATTTTTCAAGATATGCTTTCTTCATAGAAGAAATGTTCAGTTCATTTAACTTTGGATTTAAAAAAAGTTTTTTTTTCTGGATGACCAGAAAGCTTGGTCAGTTTAATCTGATTTAATGAATAATAAATATTAAATTCTTGTTTTTACCTTAATGTTTGTTGGCTCATGAAAATATTATGAAAAAGCCTTGAATATGCATGTGGCTTTCATTTTTATAAACTTTTTATTTTTTAACTATAGCTTTATTAGTAATTCCAAAATGCTGCAGTTTAGCTGACTTCCTCACTCAGACAGCTGGCTTTGTGGGTGGCTTTTTCATACTACTGTTGATTTTTTAAAAGAGAAGCAATGTAAAGACTAACAATTTAATGCACTAAACTGTTCTTTCTTTTACACATTTGAAAACTTCTTACAGCACTCTGTAATATAACAATTAAATCGCTCCCTTTTTTAAACCATTGCTAATGTGATCTGAGTTTTGCTTGGCAATAATTTTCACGTTTTCAAAATTTGAAATGTCAAGTATTGGACAAGTATGAAGCCTTTGGATATATTTATATTGTTTCCCTTACAATATGTTAACTTTGTATAGCTGTAAATAATTATTAGTAATTGTTCCTTCTCTTTTATAGACTTGGCCCTTAATTCTGCTCTGATGTTTGCTAGCTTTTGAATATATTTGACAGAGCAAAGAACCTTCTCTTGGTTGTGTCCTTGAATATGAAATAAAAGTAAGCTGTGATTAATAGTTTTCAGTGATTTTTTTTCTCCCATTTCATTGAGTTTTTTCAAAATGTGGTAAAATATACATAACGAAATTGACCATTGTATCTGTTTTTAAGTGTACAGATTGCATTAATTATATTCACAATGTTGAGCAACCATTACCACTTATTTCCAAAATGTTTTCATCATTCCAAACAGAAATTCTGTAACAGTTAAGCAATAACTCTTGATTTTCCCTCCCCCTGATAACCTTTAATCACTTTATGTTTCTATGAATTTGCCTATTCTTGATATTTCAAATCAGTGCTTATTTCATTTAGCATGTTTTCAAGATTCTCTCACGTAGCATGTATCAGAACTTCATTCCTTTTTAAGGCTGAATAATAATCCTGTGCACATTTTCTTTATTCATCTGTGGATGGATGGATGCTTGGTTTATTTCTACATTTTGGCTAGAAAAGCTACGGTGAACATGGCATACAGTTATCTGACTGAGTCACTGCCGTTGTTTCGTGTATATATTTAGGAGTGGAATTGCTGAGTCATATTATAATTCCATGTGTAAATTTTGAAGAACCATCAAACATGTGCATGGCCTGCCCCATTATTAATGACCCCACCAGGGTGGTACATGTGTTACAATTGATGAATCTATACTGATACATTATTATCAACCAAAGGTCATAGTTTGCATTAGGGTTCACTCTCAGTGGTGTACATTCTGTGGGTTCAGGCCAATGTGTAATTATGTATATCCGCCATTACAATATCATACAGAGGACTTCACTGCCTGAAAAGTCCTCTGTGCTCCTCCTATTCTTTCTCTTCCCTCAAGCCCTGGTAACCATTAATCTTTTACTGTCTTCATAATTTTGTCTTTCTAGAATGTTATATATTGGAGTCATTCAGAGTGCAGCCATTTTTTATGGGCCTCTTTCACTTGGTAATAGGCATTTAAAGCTCTTCCATGTCTTTTCGTGGCTTAATAGCTCATTTCATTTTAATGCTAAATAATATTCCATTGTCTGGATGTACCAGTTTACCCATTCATATACTGAAGGACATCTTGGTTGCTTCCAGGTTTGGGCAATTATGAATAAAGTGCTATAAACATCCATGTTCAGGATTTTGTGTGGACATAAGTTTTCGATCCTTTTGGGTAAATACAAGGAGCACGATTGCTGGGTCATACAGCAAAAGTATGCATAGTTTCTTACGACATTTTGCATTCCCACCAGCAGTAATTGAGAGTTCCTGTTGTTCCACATCCTCGCCAGCGTCTGGTGTTGTCAGTGTTCTGGATGTGGGCCATGCTAATTGGTGTGTAGTGGTGTCTCGTTGTTTTAATTTGCACTTTGCTGATGACATATGACACTGAGCATCTTTTCATGTACTTATTTGCCATCTGTGTATCTTCTTTGGTGAAATATATGTTAAGGTCTTTGGCCCATTTTTTTAAATCCTTTTTTTCCTTATTGTTAAGTTTTAAGAGTTCTTTATATATTTTGCTCACAGTCCTTTACCAAATGTGCCTTTTGCAAGTATTTTCACCTAGGCTGTGGCTTGTCTTCTCATCCTTTTGAAATTGTCTTTCACAAGTCAGGGAAGTTTTTTATTTTAATTAATTCCATCTTGTCGATTATTTCTTTCATGAATCATGCCTTTTGTATTGTATCTAAAAAGTCATTGCCATGCTTAAGGTCATCTAGGTTTTCTCCTGTGTTATTTTCTAGGAGTTTTGTAGTTTTCCATTTACATTTAGATCTGTGATCTATTTTGAATTAATGTTTCTGAATGGTATGTCATTTTTTCTTATTATGGATGTCCAGTTGTTCAGCACCATTTGTTGAAAAGACTTTCTATAAATTCAAAGTAACTAAGTGGAATTAAGCTCTTTTTTTCTAGACTTCCTTTGTACCTTTTATTTCTCTTAAGGTGCTTATTTCTATTTTGTGTTATCATATTAACTCTCATAATCATTAACTTTTTTACACAGTAGGTACACAGTTGCTTTAATTTTTTTATTGATTGATTTTAGAGAGAGGAGAAGGGAGAAAGAGAGAGAGAAACATCGATTTGTTGTTTCACTTACTCCTGCATTCATTGGTTGCTTCTTGTAACGAGCCCTGATCAGAGGTTGAACCTGCAACCTTGGCCTATGAGGATGACATTCTGACCAACTGAGCTACCCAAGGTCAGTTGCTTGATTGAAGTCACAATGAATTGTATTCCCTCAGTCTGGCTTGTCCTTATTCTCCTGCCACCAGCACAGCTGTTGCCTGCCCTAGAGGCCTCCCTTATCTCCTCCTGACCTAGTCAGTAGGAAGTCAGTAGAGGTCAGGAGGAGTCAGTAAGAGTCAGTAGGAGTCAGCACTAACCCCTCCCCTTGTGTCTACCCAGCAGGTCTTGGTTTATACTTTATTCAGTACCTGTCAAGTTGGCTTAGTAAGTACATCCATTTCACTGGCTTAGAGTGCTTTCAAGGAAGAAACCACATTTAAAAATCTTTTTTAAGCTGGTGTTTACCAACCACTTACCATGTGCCAAGCACAGGGTTGAGAGGGTTCCATGATTTATCTCAATCCCCATGGACAGTCCACGAGGCAGATGCTGTTCTTGTCCCCATCATATAGCTGATGAAACTGAGGGTGGTGAAGGTTCAGATTCACACAGAGTGAGTGTTGGAGGTGTCAAACCCGAGCTGTCTCCAGAGCTCTCACCCTCAACCATGGACTAGCCAGAGTCTTCACAAAACCATTACTCAGTAAATGTCAGACTGAACCAGAGATTGCGAGTTTGGGAGCCAGGAGAGGAAAAAAGCAATGCCAGCCTGTGATACTGGAATGAAATGAACTGAGCAAATCCTGAGAACTCTCGTTTGGCTCAAGACTTGCTGGTGTGAATAAAAGAACATTAAGTTGAGATTTGTGATGGGAATGGGGTGGGGGAGGGGCAGAGGGGCCCAAACTCAGCTACATAGTAAGATCATATGACAGCCAAGGGAGTGACCAACACCTTGGGCACCGTGCACAGTCCACGCCAGGAGTGTACAGCCCAGAAGCTAGTAAGATACACTTGGAGTTTCAGGTCATTAGACCATTCATTCACTCAGTGAACACATACCAAGCACACAATATACTCTGCCTGGCTACGGGCTCTCCTGTCTCAGGCTGTCCAGCGGCTCTCCCTTTCTCTGCCTCAGCATTGGGGCCTGTTTTCTGCTCCTCGGCCTTGCAGCTTTTAAGCAGTTTTTGCTTCCATCTGCAAAGCCACCTCTGGGCGTCCTCCTGGCCAGCTCCTCCTATGCCAGGCTCAGCTCAAAGGTCACCTCTTCAGAGGTGCTTGCTTTGAGTACCCCACCTGAGGTGGTCTCTTTGGCATACATCACTCTTCTGATTTTATTTCTAGCACTTGACATGGTCTAAAACTACTTTGCTCATTTATTTACTTGTTATTTGCCCACAAGAACTTAAGTTCTACCAGAGCAAAGATCTTGGCTGTCTTATTTATCACTCTGAGGATACGGTGTCTCAAATTTTAGTTGAATCAGTGAGTGTATCTATTATGAAAATTTACAGAATATGGGAAATAAATGAAGACATTCAATATGTTAAAATAAGTTGATAAATACCCACAAGAATTAGTGGGATGCAATTCATGCCTGTAACGAAAGGTGAAGATTTACTTAAAAGAAACAGAAAAAGATGGAAAAGGAGAAAAGGCAATGTTTACAGATATCCAGGGAAACAGAGAAGGGGGGGGCCCAGAGGAAAACTGCTTCTGTAAGGAAAGGAAGAGATGTGATTTCATTCTGAAAGGCGTTTTCAGGCTGCTCACAGGCCTGTCACGTGTCTTCTCCTTAAGTTAGGCTCGTTGAGAGCAAGGACCATGAGTGGTAGGTATGTCCTCAGCCCCTGGCCCAGGGGAGGCCCCCAGAATGCACTGGTTATACACAGAATGCATAAATGAATACTGTGTACTAAGTGTTGCCCTAGGGGACCTTAGGGCATAGAAGGGAGAAGATTCACGTGCAAACCGTGTGATGATTAACTCACTCAACAAACTCGCAGTGCTAGACAGGGAGATGTCCCCCCCTAGAATGAGGTCATGGTATCCTGAAGGTGACAGACAAGTGAGCACCGACAGAAATGTATGAGAAACACCCAGTCACAGAGAAACATGTGGTGCTATATAAACCCAGACAAGGGCCATATAACTGAGACTTGGGGACCACAAAAGGCTTCTGGGGAGTCAGCCAGATGGAGGGCACTGAGAGGGGCCCTCTTGCCAGAAGAAATGGCGAGGCAGTGCTTGGAAAGGGCAGAGAAAGTCTAGGATGAGGGAAAGACTGGGAGGAAGCTGATTCCAGACAGGACCAGCCTGGATGGAGCGCACCATTCAGTTAGCGGAATGGGGCAGTGGATTAGCCTCCCCTAGGGTGAGTGTGTGGAGTGGAAAACTGTGTTGAAAGAACACTGGAAGACAAATGGTGGAAGAGAAACTGGTGAGATGAAGACCAGTAGAGGGAAAACCAGAGTAAAAAGTTCCATGTCTAGTACCGGCTGCATAACATGGCACAGTAATACTGGGCTGTGCAGTATTGGCTGGTATTTTATCAACATTCTCCGTTTCCTAGTCTCAAGGAACATCTTGAAAGTGTAAGAATGCCTCTAAATACTAGTCTTAGAATTCTGAGATTCGGTGTTTTCTCCAGGCCGAATTAATCCTCCCTGATGGAGCCCCCAGAGTAAATCTCTATGTCCTCTTTTTATAAATGCATCAATTATCCTGGTCTTTGTTCCTGATGGTCTCTTCGGAGGCATGGGGAATTACTGACTCATTTATTTCCCAGCTCTTAGCAACGTAATAATTGATCCTAAACAAGTTACTTTAACTTCTATATGCCCAAGAGCTTCATTTGCAAAACGGAAATCGCATACCTTTCATAAGGAAAGTATATAAAGTGCAAAGAGAGTGCTTAACACAGTATCAGGAATATCATCAGTGATGAAAAAATTGGTACCTACTGGTTTTAAACAGCTACCCTGAGGGAGGCCAGTGCTTTTGATGCGTGCATACAAGGAACGTTCTGCCCATCTCCTGAAACCAAGAAGTCAAACTCCGTCCCTCTCGTTAGGTTTGAGAGCCCGATAAATATCTCAGCTCACCAGCTACTCGCAACCTGCAGCTGGCCAAGCCTCGGTTTGGCCCTTCCAGAGACTACAAATCCCAGTATGCCGCGCTCTTCCGCGCTGGCCCGTCTGGGCACCGCTCAGGGCACCGCCTCCGCTCGATGCCCACGCCATTGGCGCGCGATGGAGACCGGGAGCTGGTTGCTCGGCGGCGAGTTCGAGGATTCGGTGTTTGAAGAGGGGCGGGAGCGGCGGTCTGGACCGCCTGCGTCCTACCGCGCCAAGCTCTGCGAGCCGCAGGTAGGCGGGCAGCAGGGCGGGGCCTCCGGGCCTCCCCCAGGCGCCCCCTCCTCACCCTGGTTCCCCGGCCCCGTCTCCCGCGGATCCCCGCAGGATCGCCTGCCGCCTCCCCGGATTGCCCCTCTGCCCACCCTGGCCTCCCGTTATCCCTGACCACCACTAGGAACGGAGCGGAGCCCCACTCCGGAAGCCCGGCCCCCTCTGACCCCGAGGGCGCGAGGAAACCACTGCGCTGTCCTCGGGGAGCTCGCAGCTGTTGTTGGGCCGGTCTCGCTGTGACTCCCTGGTCTTCCCTGTCCCGCTCGAAATCTGCAACAACTGCACGTGCAGCCGGGCAGTCAGCGCCCCAGAAGCGTGCCGCCGCCCACTTCTGCAATTTTAGTGTTGTCTGCCCCCCAGATGGCGACGCCCCCCCCCCCCATGAACCTGTCGTTTGGTGACTTACCCCTGCCGGCTCTAATCTCTCTCTCTGATGGCCAGAGTCGCTCAGTTGTATCCATTTCTCAAGGCGCGTCTTAAACGCTGCATCCTCCGAGAAGTCTTTTCTGATTCCCCTTTCCAACCCCAAAAGTTTGTTTTGACTTCTTTCCTCCCCCCGCCCCGCCCTCACCCTTTTAGCTTCTGTTAAAACACCTGCCAGTATCCCAGAAAGCTCTTAGACCCTGAGTGCTAAATGATCACCTGGGAGTGGGCGCCTGACTTATTGCGCCCCCCCCCCCCCAGTGCCCAGCAGGTTTTGTTCATTATGGGAACTCCGTGAATATTTTGAATTAGAATTTGTATTTCAGTCCAGCCGTAAACAGTGTGGGGTTAGGGCTCTGAACCCTGCACAGTGGAAAATCCATGTATAACTTTTGACGGCCCCCAAAACCTTACTAATAGCCTACGGTTTACCAGAAGCTTTACTAACAAAATAGTTGATTAACATATATTCTGTATGTTATATATTTTATAACCTGTAGCTTACCATTAAGAAAGCAAGAGAAAAAGTTATTAAGAAAATCGTAAGGAAAATACTTCTACAGCCCTCATTGAGGAAAATCTGTGTATAAGTGAACCCACGCAGCTCCAGCCCCTGTAGTTCAAGGGTCAGTGGTGTTGACTGCACGTGGGAATCTCGACTCACCAATAACAGCTACTGTTTGTCAGAAACTTGCCTGTTCCCGGCACTGTGCTGGGCTTCTTTACAGGTATTGTTTCATTTTTCCTTACCACCATTGTACTGACAGATGCCAGGTGCTGGGCTTCTTTACAGGTATTGTTTCATTTTTCCTTACCACCATTGTACTGACAGATGCCAGGTGCTCAGCAATGACTGAGTTGTCCTTTGGTTTTATTTCACCTGCATTGTCTCCTTACCACATGCAGTCTTTCGGAGGTCACCTCTAGTGTTGATTGACCGATGTAAACTCACACCAGGATGGGCTTGGGAAGTGACATTGTAGAGCAGGGGTGTCCAGCCTTTGGGCGTCTCTGGGCCACACCGGAAGAAGAGTTATCTTGGGCCGCACATTAAATACGTTGCGACGCGTAATCACAAGAAAATCACGTGTTTTAAGTAAATTTGTGATTTTGTGTCGGCCTGCGTTCACAGCCGTCCAGGGCTGCACGTGGCCCGTGGGCGCCCCTCTTGTGTGGGTTAAAAGCCATGGCTCTGAGATAGGGCCTCTGAATTCCAGTGTGGGCTTTATTTTCCCCTTGCCTTCCAAGGTGTCAGTTCCTTATTTGTCATTTGGGAAAAATAATACTTGCTGGCTCATGGCCTATTAGGGGAATAAAATGAGATCGTACTTTGTCAGGTATTTGATAATAAACACAGGTATTTGATAGTACTTACCAAGTGAAACCCCAAAGTCACTCTTCGTTAGACTTTGTCTGGTGTGTGATACTGCCCATAAAGTCAGAGAGACCAACTGAAGTGCCGTTGGTCTCCCGCAATGGGCTGGAAGACTTCTGTTGTGCCCACCCGCTCAGGTTCGATGTGGGGCCAGATGTTTGCCTTAGCACGTCACCTCTTAGTCCCACCCCCGTTCACGGCTCTTCCCTCCTTCCTCTAATCAGAAAGGGGCACTAAAAACCATCCCATGTCTGAATTCTTGTGGACATGCAGATTATGTGGGACAATAAAAATAATCCCTTGAAAATTGATTTTGCTGGATCATTTCCCATTTGGATAATGGAAGTTGGATGGAGGCTTGCAATTGTGTAGTTGTTGTTCAAGAAGTTGGGGTTGACTAGTAATCTAATGCCATCTGGGGCTGAGCGGTGGAGTACAAAGGGAAATTGTGGGCCCGGGACACAGACTTGTTGAGTTACACGGTACTTACTTCAGGGAGAACAGAAGGAACAGTGGGTGCTAGCCTTCTCCACTGCGATGGATCAGGCTAAGGAGAGAGACGGTTTTACTAAAGTAACAGTGGGGCCATGATACCTGAGCAACTGTTCTGAAAGTAGAACCGGGCAGTTTCAGCACCATGGTAGAACCAGGGGGAATGCAGTTGTGTCTGAATTCATGCTACTGAACTGGGAATAAGCTCCACTCAGCCTGCAGGTGTTTTACCGTAACTGTAATGGGATGAGAGATGTTAGCCGCTGGCTTTCTGTCAGCTGAGCTTTTGTTTTCTAACAATCGAATTCTTTATTGTGATATCCATAAATGTTGCTGTTTGTGTTTCTGTCCTCATCTGATCATTCTTTACGTAATAATCGGAAAATCTCAGTCTCGCTTTCTTTCCTGTGCACGGGGTTTAAATCAGTGGAAAGGCGAATAAGGTACTCCAGACGGGCTTCTCCCGAGGCGGGTCTTCGGCTTTCGATTACATGGAGGCCTCCTTTGAACCTAATTATTATTCCCTCTTTGCTTAGCTTCTACTGGTTGCTTTTACATTTTCATAGTAGCTCTGTAATGGTAATTCTTCTTTCCTATAAGACTCTTTCTGATAAGAGTCTCCAGTCTCCACTCCACCTCCTCTAAAATGTCTCAACGAGAAAGCATATCTCTGTCTAAAGAACCAGCGGGGACTCTGCTAGTAAATGCCAGTTCCCAGGCAACACAAAAAACCCACATTGAAAATGCCGTGGGGGGCGGAGACTGACTCGCAGATGCAGAGAGCAGACCGATGGTGCCAGGGGGCTGGGCAACAAAGGTGAAGGGGTTAAGAAGCACAAATTGGTAGTTTCAGAACAGTCACAGGGATGCGAAGTACAGTGTAGGGAATAGAGGGAATGATGTGCTAATAACTAGATAAGGTGCCAGGTGGGTATTTGAATTATTAGGGGATCACTCTGTAAATTACTATATTTTGGACTCTAAGACGCACCTCCCAGATTTGGGAGGAAGGGGAGGGTGCGTTTTATAGTCCGAATGTAGCGTGCCTGGCTCTTGGGGGTGTGTCTTATAGTCTGAAAAATACAGTATATAAATGTCCAGCCATTGTGGTGTACACCTGAAGCTAATATAAAATAATATTGAATGTCAACTGTAACTGAAAAACAAAATTTTAATCAAAAAAGAACATGCTGTGGATAAAGCCGTATACTTTTGCACGCCTTTTTTTAAGTTGAGAGGCATCATATTATTGGTATGTTTGTTCATTGTGGTAATTATCATAAAAAGAGGGCCATCATTAATATTGTCACGCTTCGATGCCAGATGTTTTCCTCCGAGTCTCATCCTAAGGAAGAATGTCTTCTTTGAGGCTTAATCACTTATTTATGGGAATTGCTTGTGTGAGGTGGGAAGGGCATAGCTTCTTTCCGTATAATATGCTATTTTCACAATTTTTAGTGGTTTTATGAGGAAACGGAGAGCAGTGATGACGTCGAGGCTCTAACTCTCAAGAAATTCAGAGGGGACCTGGCGTACAGACGGCAGGACTATCAGGTAGAGGTCAACGTGCGTGAGACCGCGCTGCTGGCAAGGGGCTCTTGTTCCGTAGGTCATGGTGCGTTTCAGGGACGGGCTGCTGAGTTATGAGTGTTGTTCGTGAAGATGAACTTACCGTTCGTGATATGTGTCTGTCACCTTAGAACCCCAAGTGTCTGTCCTTTTCGATAAGGCTCTGTATCATTTGTTTCATTTCTCGTAGCTTCAGTACAGGGATCTTCTGGGGGTCCTCATTATGCAGGAGCCTGCAGCACAGACACCTCACACCTCATAGCGCCCCAGAGGCAAAGCACCCGAAACGTGTGAGAGGAGGGAGGGACTAGCGACGAGGCACCGGCTTCACATGGAGATCTCACTTCATCTTCATAAAGAGCCCTGTTGGTATTTTGCTGATGAAAAGGTTATGGTATATAGCGAGTCAGTGGCAAAACCAGGGTTCAAACCCTGGTCTGTTTGGCTCCAGAATGTTCTTCCTGCTACACTAGGATGTTTTCTGTGACAGTAGTGATTATATTCTCGGCCATTTCCTGTCTGCCTCTTAGAAGAACAGTACTGACAAATCCCCAGTGAGTCTTCCTTCGCTTATTGTAGGGGTCAGTTACGACATGACCTCCTGCCTGGGAAAAAATGTCATGTTTATAACTGAATCCTTTCCTCTACTATGTTTTCTACCTTTCGTTTCATCCCTTCTCTTCATTTCCTCTACTTAACACATAATTGCCAGAAAGCCCTGCAGGAGTATTCCAGTATTTCTGAAAAATTGCCACCTACAAACTTTGCCATGAAGAGGGACGTGCAGGAAGGCCAGGCCCGGTGTCTGGCTCGCCTGGGAAGGCTCGCGGAAGCCCTGGAGATGGCCGCGGACCTGGTGAGTGGTTCCATTGGTTTTCCTGGGAGGGCTGCCTATTTTCTAAGAAGCAAAACGGAAACCAACTTCTTGCTAATAGCAAAATCTGTGAATTTGGAGAAGCAGAAGAAATTGTCAGTGGTATAAGACTGTTATTATGATAAACAATTTGGAGCTTTAGACATAATCATTTTCTTGTAATATTTTTCCTGTATTATGCTCAAAATTCTTCATTGCCTGAAAATCTCATTTACAAAGGTTTTATTTTTTTTAAGATTTTATTTATTTTTAGAGAGAGGGGAAGGGAGGGAGAAAGACAGAGAGAGAAACATTAATATGTGGTTGCCTCTCAGGCATCTCCAAATAGGGACCTGGCCTGCAATCCAGGCATGTGCCCTGACTGAGAATCAAACTGGTGATGCTTTGGTTTGCAGGCCAGTGCTCAATCCACTGAGCCACACCAGCCAGGGCAAAGGTTTTATTCTTGTTAGGAATAAATACTGAATGCAAGGATTATCAGTGATCTATGTCCTTTAGAGTCTTTATTTTTGAAAATTTCTACAATGAACATGTATTACTTTTGTAAAGAGGGAAACAAGTTACCAAAAAATGACTGAATATCATACTAAGCCAAGCTTTAATAGTCCTTTTTTTCTTAAGTGGAATTTGCAGAATTTTTTATTAAGGGATAAAGAAAAGCAGTTCTTTGCAATTCTAGATTCTGCCTGTTTTTGTTTTCGGATTAAGGCATTTATGGTTTACGTCTGTGGTTATTTATATAAGTTTTAAGTGGGGACTGGTCTTCAGTAGGCCATTCCTAGTTTATGGATGACCAGTGTTCTTCCTTAGAGGGAACTATTGAGGCACCACGTCACTGATGGTGAACCCTGTGGATCTAGTCGGCCAAGGTCAGCCTAAAGTGTGTGTGCAACTGAAGTGCCCTCTTTCTCACTGACTGGGAGAAATCCCTCAGTTTGCTCACTGAGGGGTTCATTGCATAGGACCTCAGCCTCTTGCGGTGAGAGGACACCTTGGTGGTAACTGTCGTCAGTACATGGCAAATAGCTGCATTTCCTTCTTTCTTTTTCTGCTCTCTACTAATTGTGGGTTAATTCTTACGCTGGAAAATAAGGTTACCTTGTTAAGGAAGCATATGGCATGAACAGTGAACTTGGTAGGATTTAGGTGTTTATTCTTAGTCTCCATGGTTTACAAATTAACAGCAACTTCAGCCCTTCTGGTACCTTCTTCTGGATGTTAGTCCCCATTCCTCCGTTACGGCTCTGTGTTCCCATCACCTTCCTCTTCCTCACACCTCTTGTGTATCACAGTTGGTCTCTGTCCTCCCTGCCCAGACCACTGAAGGCAGTGGCAGCTAGGTTCGTCCCCTCTTCTGTGGCTCAGACAAAGACCTGTGGCCAGTCCGCAGGTGCCAGGTCTCCCGATTTCGGAGTGGTTACCAGGCAGGAGGAGGACCCGTCTGAAGGTCTTCGGCTCCCTGTCAGGACTCTGAGAATTATCATCAGGCTTCTGGACACCCCACCGGGGGAGGACTGTTGCGGGTGGGGGGACGGGCATTGTAGCTGGTGAGTCTCACCCCTTCCTGTGGGTCTCTTCACGTGATCTCACAAACCTGTTTGCATGATTTTCTTTCCTGGTACCACATGTTTTGTTTTTAAATGTATATGTAATGCCCTGGCTGGTGTAGCTCAGTGGATTGAGCGTGGGCTGCAAACCAAAGGATCACTGGTTCGATTCCCAGTCAGGGCACATACCTGGGTTGCAGGCCAGGTCCCAGCAGGGGACACATGAGAGGCAACCACACACTGATGTTTCTTTCCCTCTCTTTCTCCCTCCCTAAAAATTAACAAATAAAATCTTTTAAAAAGTTTTAAAAAATAAATTTGTACATAACAACCTCTACCCCAACACACACTGCTTTCTCAGTATGAAAATGTTTTTAAACAGCATAAATCACTGCAGACTGGTTGTAGAAGAAAGGTAACATCTGTGTTACACAATACTTTCCCTATCATAAGTGAAAGACATGAAGGGGTATTACTCAACAGTTATTAAACACCTGTTACGTGGAGGTGCCATGCATTGTACTGGGAGTTCAGCAGCGAACTGAGTCCTTTTGGAAGTTACTGGTCTGTTGGGAGGGTGGCACTCTAGACAAGAGCAGTAATAAACCAGATCAGTTCTGCCACCGGGCAGATGCGGTGTGACCAAACGGGCTCCCTCCCTTCCTTTCACTCAGTCTGAGACCGTTGAGGAACCTCCCCGAGAGCTTGCTGTCCGCATGCTTGTTTCTTTGGGCTGCGTGCGCACTGGGTCCTTCTACGCTATTTCTTACTGGATGTGGTTCTCTGTGGCAGCCTGACTTAGAGACCAGATGGCCAGGTTTTCCTCTGGCTTAAAAATCAGCTGAAAGGCCTTTTAGTCTGCCGTCTGCTCTCCAGACTTTAACTTATGGGGGAAAAGCCTCGTTTTCTCTAGCCCCAGGCTGTTGCCATATGGCAAGTTAGGCAAGAGGTGGTGGCTCTGGTGGTGGAGACTTGAAAAGGATTTTCTGGCCTTGGTCACAGTTAGCAGGGAAGGCATTTGGATTTAATTATGATGCAGCATGAAACACACAGAGCTTCAGGCTGTCTTGCTTAAGATGTCCAAGCCAAGGGAAATTTGGACATGGAGTTCATTTGAATTCTCAAGGAAATTGCCGTTTGGATTTTTAAAAGGCCTGGAGTATTAAAGTGGAACCATTAGCCCAGGGTATAAAGGGTCGGCTTGGGTCTCTCCGCTGTCCAGCTGAAGACAGTAAAGGTCATAATAAAAATTGAAAATAAACTGGCTTTTGTGTTTCTGGTGCTGAACTCTGTCAGACCACCGTCAGGTGAATCGTGTTCCCGTTGTGACTCTGGGGTGTGGGGTGCGGGGACCAGTGTTTGCTTTGCTGGCCAGTGTGTGTTGCTCCAGGTTAATGGCTTCACACTGAGAGCTACTGATAGATATTTTGTTCACTCTGCCTGTGTAGCTGCTGAAAGGTACTTCTGGCTTATAACATGTACAACCTGGGTTTTTAGGCACCTCTGTGTTTGCGTAGAGAACGTCTGCAGTTTAATGCTTTCAGCCTCTTCCCGCTCCTCAGGAAACGAGAGCAACCAACACAGACCACCTCACCACCGCGCTCCACCTGCAGCTCGCCGTCCGGGCCGGCGGGCCGACCTCGGCGGAGGCCGTCCTCTGCCTGCAGAAGCTGATTTCTCTGCACCCTTTCAACCCTTGGAGCTGGGGCAGGTTGGCAGAGGCGTACCTGAATCTGGAGCCAGATCTCTCGGCACCGTTTGCATCCTCTCTCACACGGAACAGTTGCACCTCAAATGGCAACACTGTCGACTCCTTCCCACACTCAGGAAAAGACTGCCTTTTGTGCTGCCCCAAGACGCTGCCTGAGAGCTCTGTGTTTCCCGTGGAAACAAGCAGCCCTGATAAGCAGGAGGAGGAGAACGCCCTCACTAGTGTTCCAGACTCCGTAGCAGAAGAGAGAGAAGCAGTGTTGCTGGAGACACAGGTGAAAGCGTGTGCCTCTCTCATACGGACCAGGTAAACGAGCAGGGGGTTGAACAATGGACATGAGACTGAGCTCAGAGTAAAAGTTTTATTTTTCTAGTTACAATGTTCAAAAAGTTCTGGGCTACACACCGAGCATATGTCTTTGAGATTTTTTTCTGTGGTCTAGATGAACCCTTTGAACATGTCCTTTTAGTATGTAAGATTGAGAAACAAAACTGCGTTTGCTCAGGAACACAACTTGTGTTATTCCTCGATAAAAAATTTAAATGGAAGCCCTGGCTGATGTAGCTCAGTGGATTGAGCGCAGGCCTGTGAACCAGAGTATTGAGGTTCACACGGAACAGTTGCAGGCCAGTTCCCGGCAGGGGACACACAAGAGGCAACCATACATTGATAAAAAAAAAAATTAAAGTGGAAAACATTGAAACTAGGAAAAGAAAGGTATGAAGCATTGACAAAGGGGGAAGCGGTATTTCAACAAGGAATTTTTCACTCATGTTCCATGGAAATCTGAAGAAGAAAATCTGCTTATATTTGAATCACTGTTGGTAATGTGAGTAAACAAAGTTTAATTCATTCTGCAGAGGAGTCTCGTGATTGAGGGACACCAAGGACTTCGAATCCTTAGAGTGTAAGGGTTCACGGGAAAGGGCATACATGTGACCGATCCTGTAACTTATGAGAGAAAGGGACTCGCTTAGGTCTCAAGTGATACCAGGAAACGTAGAGGTGGTCTTCTGTTTTAACTCTGGAGAGTTTGAGAAATACTGATTGACAGACTTACTGGGAATGATACCTATTTGGCAGATTTCAGACTGGTCAGATATTCATTTCTTGTTCATTACGTCACTGCCTCAGAAACACCCTGAATTACAGCCTCGTGCAAGGCACACTGGGGGCCAGGATCGTGAAGACGTTCCGGAAGAGCCCCTTTCCCTCCTCCATGACTCACTGTGTTGAGGAGGCCCTAGGGGGGTCGGAGGGTCAGCGACGAGCGGTAGCAGCACAGCCGTGGAGCAGTGGGGTTTGTCGAGCGCAGCAGGAGGGAGGAAGTCTTCCCGAGGCAGCGGTGCCCCTGCTGAGTGCAGGTGCGCAGATACCTGTGTGCCAGGCGCTTTGCGTACTCCACCTCCCCACCCTGTGGTGGATGTCGGACCCCACCGGAGAGACCAGGGGGCTAACTTAGAGTGATGCCACAGTGGCACCGCTGCGGGGCGAGGCCCGGATTTGCGCCCCGGCCTTGACCCCAGAGCCTGTGTTCTTTCCAGAACACCTTGCTGTCACAAGGGACTGTTCGCCAGGGGAGGAGAGGTGGCTGGATGAAGGGAAGGACGGCACAGCCCCAGGGGTGAAAGGGCGGCTGCGGCAGGGTCGTCACGTGGTGCGAGCAGCATTGGTGTGAGCCCCAGAGGCCGGCACAGGCCATGAGGCCGGGGTAGTGCAGTCACGTGGGAGGCAGGAGTTTGGAGTCAGACCTGGTGTTAAGGAGCCTGATAAATTGTCCTCATTGAGCAGTGAGTCTGGATCCCTCCGCTCGCTCACTGCCCTACCTTGCACAGAATACTGAAACTCCCTCGCCTCCATTCTCTCATCTCGACAGATGGAGAAATGGGGCAGCTGCCCCCTTCACAGGGCTGTGAGAATTAAAATATCTGAGAAACTTACTGCAGTGCCCACACGCGGTCAGCACTGGGTAAATGTTGTACTTCTGTTTTTGTTTTCATTAGCACAGATGTTAAATATCATCCTAAAGAGTCTGCTCCTTGTACTGCAGGCCAGAAGAGTGTTGGAAGGTTTTAAATGTTGAATGCGGGGACCGGGCCGAAACCTCGAGAGGGCGGTCTGGCGGCTGCGGGGAGGTATTGGCAGGAGGACTTGGGGGCTGGGGACACCAGTGAAGGGACTGTGGGACGGCAGACTGGACTGATCGGTGGGTGGTCATGAGGCCCTGACCTAGGAGCGCACAGGGGCAATGAAAGAGGAAATGGATGTCTCCGCAGGATGCAATAGGCCAGACTTGGCAACCAGCGGAGCGTGTGGGAAGGACAGGGTGAGGAGGGGAGAGCGTGTGAGTCAGAGGTGACTCGGAAGAGCTGACCTTGGGTGGATGGGCGGAGGTGGTGCCTTTGCCCAAGACAGGCCGACAGGCGGAGGGAAGAATAGAGCAGGTTTAGGCTGCAGGTAGCTGCCTGTAGGACATCCAGCTGGAGCTTTAACTAGAAAACGCACGCTGAGCTCAGAAGGGCGCCGGAGATGGAGGAATTTGGAGGAGAGCGGCAGTCAGGTGGTGGTGAGGGGTCAGCTGGGACCAGTTCTGAGAAGAGGATCTGAAGGGTAGGAGGTCATTTGTGACCTTTGAGAAGGCAGCTTCTTAGTGATGGGGTGACACTGCAGGGGGTTGGGAGCGAATGAACGTGAAGTAGAAGGAGCACCAATAACCTGTATTTTAAAGTAATTTCAGGAGCAAGAAGGAGAAAGCAAGTTTGGAAAAGGTAGATTCCTCCAGAGGCCAAGCAGGAGTGCAAACAGGGTAGAATGGCACAGGGTGAATGTGAACGGGGTCAAGTTCTTTTATAAAACTCTCCAGCGACATCCGGTTGCCCCTATGCAAATTCCACATTTCTTTCTGCCACCTGGGAGGTCCTAGATGAGTTGGCCCTACCTTTCTCCTCATTCACTCCAGGTTCTTCCTTCTTGGCCGTGTTCCTCCCACAGGAATCCTCGCGATTCTCACTCACGTTAACGAGTTCTTGCGTCAGAGTCCCTTCCCCCTCCGTGGCAGGCCTCCTTCCCCAGATCTCAAGGCTGGCCCCTCCCCCTCAGCGCTATCTCAGAGAAGCCTGCCTTCCTCCACTGCCCCTCCTGGAATAGACACAGCATCCACAAAGTCTTGGATGTTTTTGTTCATAGCGCTCATCAGTGCCTGAAATTGTCTTATTATTTGTGCTCTCTCTCCTTCCCTTCTGTGAAGCAGGAACCCATCTGCTTTGCTCACCAGCGTCTCCCAGTGGTACATCCCTCAAGGCATGAATGAGTGAGCAGGAGAGCTGAGTGCTTCTGCGTGTAGCAATAGGGACCGGTGAGGCCTGAGGAAAACTGGAAAAATCTGCACATTCAATATTTAAAAAAACAAGGAGGGAGCCACGTGAGATGGACAGGAGGGAGGAGGGTGTCAAGACCAGTCCTCATCATGACAGGGAAGTTAGGGTGTTGCAAAGTGGCTGTTAGAGGGTCCTCAAAGGTTTGGCCCTGCTTTGGGGAAGGGAAGTGAGCTAGAGCTTCTTATTAGTCCTTGCAGTCAAGTTGCTGTGGGTTCAGGGCCATGGAAGGGTCACAGAGCACTGACTGCAAAGGAAGACGGCCCAGTGTTCGGGGAAGGAGCTTTTCCTTCGCTGGGGGGCTCGTTCTGTTCGCTCCTTGTTACTTGTGCTTTCGATCACTTAACTCCTGCAGGACGCCCTTTGCAGTCTTGCTCTCTAAAGAGTTCTTTGAGAAGCTTTGGTCTATGCATTTTTAAAAAGATGACTCTCCAATGTAAAGCCAGTGCTTTGTTCGGAAGCAGCAGCGTTGAGGCTGCAGCTGAGGGTGCGAGCCTGCTAGTTAGCCCCGCGGACCCGGCCAGCTGACCACCTGTGCTGTACGCAAGTTTCCACACTGCTCTCCTCCCCCGGGACCCCCGCATCCCGACTTCTCTGTCTTTCAGGCTTTTGCTTCAGCTCTCCCAGTCTCAGCAAACGTCCTTTGCTTTGGAGAGGAACCTAAGGACCCAGGAGGAAATTGAAGACAAGATGAAAGGGTTCCGCTTCCCAGAAGACACTCTGCTGCTGATGACTGAGGTGAGCATTTCCCTGGGGTTTATGTGAAACGTGGCATCATAGATATTTTTCCTGGCTCTGATACCGTGTTTTTAATTAAAAAAAATTTAATTTTAGCCTTTTAGATCTCTAAAAATAAAAAAAGAAAAGAAAGAGGCAAGGTCAAATCTCGCCCACTGCGGGACTTCTGTGTCCTTCTTTACCTGCCTTTGGTCACTTCATCCCTGAAAGCAGCTTCCTCCTCATCTTCTCCTGCAGCGTGAAAGTGCTAGAAGGCAGGGCCGCGTGTCATTTACAGGTTGGGTCTCGGCAGTCCCTGCCTGCTTGACCATCGTAATGCCCAGTAATGGCTTTTCAAGCTGAATAAATGAATGAATGTCTGTTGGCATTCGTGCAGGGCTCTTGTATGTTTTCTCCTTCGTTGGTCCTCAGAGCAGCCTGTGGGACAAGGCAGGGCGGGGCCGAGGCGCGGAGAGGTTCTGACTTGCCTACGGCCAGGGTTTACGTGGCAGAGCCGCACTGGCCTCCATCCAGCTACCAGTCCGCTGTCCGTCAGCTCCGCCCTGCTGCTGCCTTGATGGCAGCGGAGTCGGTCAGATGTCAATTTTTAAACCTTTATTAGTGATAAAAAAATCTACTGTTGAAATGTCTTAAGATGGCATTTGGAGATTATCATGTGTTGAAGTTATTCATTCTGGTTCCTCTTCGTATTGGTTGAAACTTCACAGCTCAGGGACTTTTGCCCTGAGAATAACTCTCTGTCCATATGCATCCCAATGTGCTTTCAAGAAATACTGCAAATCTGCTGTCGCAGGCCCCTTCCGCCTTCCCCCAAGCTAGGCTCCCACGCGGCTCCTCCCCCTCTCTGGGATCACACTCTCCTGGCGGTTCTCTGAGGGCGTCTTTCAACCTTCCCGCTTCTGTGGGCTCTGTCCTGTGGGCCCGTGGAGATGCACAGACAGCCCGAATCTCCTAGGTTCACCGTGGCCTTTCCGTGCTCTGTCTCCTTCGAGTTCCTACAGACTCTTCGCTGTTCCCTCTTCCCTTGACTCTGAGAGGCTGCACTTGTCTGCTCTTCTCCCATGTTTCTTACTGTCTCTGCCTCTTGAAGACCTCCGTGTCTTAAGCAACGCATGCCTGAGGCTTCCCTCAGGTTCCGTCCCCTCTGCCTTTCCCCCACAGCACGTGTGACTGCGCGCAGTCGCAGTTGTCCCCTCTGGGCGATCACCCTCTAGCCTGCTCCCTCCCCGGCAACGCGGGTCTCCCATCTCAGGCTGATCACTGGGCGACTGGGCGACTAATCTGAGATGATTATGGATTATTCTACTGTCACTTCCGTACAAGTGTCTAAAATGGAACTACTCGTCAAAACACGTCCCATCTTCATCACTATCTGGCATACTCAGCCATCAGTAAGTAGTTGAGAGCTGGAGAGAACCGTTCTCGCTTTGTGGACGGAGTTTTTTCCATTGATCCTCTCTGTCATTCTTCTTTAAACCCAGGCCTGGAAGCGCACCAGCTGCGGGCCCCTTCCTCTCTGCTCTCGCCTCTAGACGGGCGCAAGCCCCCTCCCTCCAGGCTCCACCTGTCCCTCCTCTTCCACCACTGGCACCACGGCCCTCACCACCTCCTGTCTGACTCTCAGCCGCCTCCTGGCTGGTCTCTCCTCGATTCCTTAATCTCTCCCCTGAGATCTGCCTCCAACATTGCCGCTGACTTCCTCTTAAAACATGGCTGTAAGGGCTGGGTGAAAAGGAGAAGGGGGTGAGAAGTACAGACTGGTAGTAGTTCCCAAACCGTCACAGGGTGTGAGGTGCAGGGCAGGCAGTCAATAGCACAGCAATACCTGTAGGGCCAGGTATGCACTGGACTTACCGGGGATTGCTTCATAAATTATAAAATTGTCTGACCACTAAGCTGCGCATGTGAAGGTAAATAACATCGAATGTCAACTGCAATTAAAAAATAAAGTTAAACAAAGAAACATTGCTTTGACCATGTTACCTGCTTGCTTAAAAACTAAAATGTGAGACCGTTAGCTCAGTCAGATCTAGTTTAAGGCCTTGATAATAGGCCTTCCAGAGAGCGCCCCAAACTTACAACCTAGTCATTCCCCGCGGGAATCTGGGCCCTGTCTAATAAACTCAGCTGGTCCTCCTGCCTCCGCCTACTGACTCCTCCCACCCCGAGAGACCAGCCAAAATCCACGTCCTCCAGGGAGCTTTCGGGAAGGTTCTGTTCCTTCTCCCTCACCTGCGCTCAGAGGGAATGATGGGAATGATCGCTTGAATGGATAGCTCTTTAGCCGCCCCCTCCCCCCACCCGAAAAGCAAGGATTTGCCTTAGGCTTGTGGGTGTTTTATCAGAGAAACTAACCCAGAAGCTGAATCTGATTCTGACCAGTAGGGAGCAGTATTGTGCTTTCAGAGGGCAAGCGTGCTTCTTAAATCTCCCAGGTTGCTGTGGTAACCTTTCTGGAGGAGTGGGTGTCTCTGGGTCCGGAAAGGGTGGGCCTGGCTCCTTGCATGACTTCTTTGGGGAACTTCTAAGAGAAAGAATCTGTGTGTCCCCCACCCGCTCCCAGCAGCTGCATTCTCCCGGTGCTCTGCTCTTGGGTCATTTGTCAGGGAGGGAGGGTCACTCGCAATTGTATTCTTGGCAAGAGAAGGTGCTCTGAGCTGTGAGAAGTTCGCCTTGGCTTTCCTGCAGGCTGACCAGCGCCCCCGCCGTGTTCATACGTCAGTGACTTGTTCGCTCAGGGACGGGTGGGAGTGGAAACATGGGTGGTGTTTACCCACGTGCTCCTCAGACCACTACCTCTGATCAAACATCTTTTCAGTCTGTCGGAACTGCAGGGCTGGTCCCCGGGCTGTCTGAAGGAGTTCTGCTCGCAGGCAGCCCTTGCCACCGAAGACTAGCCAAGTCCCGTGTGCCGTGTCTGGTGCCCCCTTTACAGCCTCAGGGCTTTCTTCCTCCTCCTGCAGGTTATGGGAAAAGACATCGTCCCGGAAAAAATAAAAGACGAAGTTCACAGCGAGGTGAAGTGTGTGGGCTCGGCAGCCCTGAGCGCCCTGGTGATTGCATCTTCGAAAGAATTTGAGGACAAGTGGTTCGGGAAGATCAAAGACCACCTCTGCTCCTTGGAACGTCCGTTCCACGCACAGATACAAATCTCCACTTCGTAGTCCCTTCGAAAGCCAAACGTCTGGCACTGTTCATTGCCCTTGTCGACTTCAGAGAGAATCCACTGCTAATCATGGAATACAGTGAATTAAACATGATTATTTATAAAAATGGCTTATCTTCCACGTTCTTCCTTCAGTGTTCAGTTTCTTGGCTTTTGTTGTCTTTTTAGATTTTTGCCATTCACTTATCTTGGGCTTCCTACCCCCTTAGAAGTTCTCTGTTGGGAAAGTGTGTAAAAGAGGCTCTGGGATTTTATAGTCTTTTAAAAACAGTTACTACCTATAACCAGCAGCGTAAGTATTTACATTGTTTACGTAAATTCGTCAGGAGTGACCAAGGTTGTTGAGCTGAAGTCTGTGTCAAGGTCAGGCCAGGTTCTGGGGCTTGACCGAACCTGTCGGCAGGCACGTGAGCCCGTCAGTTCTGTGGGTGCCGCAGAGACGGGGCGTCCGTGGCAGTGTCGGCCCCAGCACGCTGCGGCACTTAGCTGCCTCGGGCTCCCCGGTGACACCTGCGGGCCTGTGGAGCGCTGGCTCACAGGGAGAATGTCCTGTCCTTTCCGCCGCACATGTCACAGTCATGACCTATAACATCATGTCCCCATACACAGGGCCATTGCCTTACTCCAGTTATCTGGCATAGAACTCCAATTATCCCTTAGAGAAGCGGAGTTCAATAATAAACTGAAAACTTCATCAAACGTCCCACGCAGCTTTTATTTTTCTCAGCAGAGGGAAGAGAATGGCGGCCTCAGGCGAAAAGGTGGTATCGCCAGCGCTTCCTTTCGCCCTTCCCGGGCCCCTTCCCAAAGCAGACCGCTCTTAGTGGGAGTGCGTGCTGGTCATTCAGCTCTGAAACAAAAGGCTGATGAATAGGCATTTCAGTGTCTAGGAACCATTAGAAAGTAGGAAACTCCCCAGTGGCTCCCCCTTGCCCTCATTCATTCCTGAGTCTTTAACAATCACTTCTTGAACTCTTGTTATGACAAGCATTGTGTGGTTGCCATGGAGACATAGGTTAGCATGAAATTTATGGTCTGTGTGTTGATGGCCCTCAGGATAGAGCCCCAGTTGGACTGTGGCTTCTCCATTAGCCTTTGGCAACCCAGGGCTTCATCATTTTCTGCCCCCACCTTTAAATGTGCCATAACATCAACCTTTGGGCAGCTCAGTCTGGAGCCTCTCCCCGCCCCCAGTACATGGCTGGTTCAGCTTTCAGGCCTCCGCTGAATTTTAGCTTCCTAGAGTCTTGATCCCCAAGTGGTGGTGGGTTCCCCGTCTGCGCCTTCTCGGCTCTTTCCATGCTACCTGGGCCTATAACGCTCTGCAGGGTGATCACCCTGCTTTCCACGCAGACTAAACTTTGTACAGCTGGGAGACTGGGACTGTCTCGTTCATATTTGTATCCACAGGGAAGAATACCTGGCATCTTGCTAAATACTTGTTGGTAGGAATTGCTGAAGTCTTTTGGCCCAGTGGCTCAGTTTGTTGGAGCACTGTCCTGAACGCCCAAAGTTCGCGGTTTTGATCCCCTGTTGGGTGCATGTGGGAGGCAATGGATCCACGTCTCTCCCTGGGGGGGGGGGGGGGGGGGGGGGGGGGGAGGAACCCCTCTGCCCCGCCCTTGCTCCTGCCAAATCAATCAACATACCCTTAGGTAAGGATCTAAAAAAAAAAAAGCTGCTGAATTAATTGGCCAATGTCTTCCTTTGTTTGCACAAGTTAATCCCAAAGGCCTGGGTGGTGAGGCAGCCAAGCACCCTGCCCGGTTCTCTTTCCGTGGCTAAAACCCCTTCCTCCTGTTTGTCCAGGTCTCCTAGACATGTCCTTTCTCCCCTAACCTCTCCAACTTCTTCTCCACCCTAGTGCCCATCCAACCCTGCCCAGGCTTAGCCTTTCCCCCTCTGGCTTTCCTCCGGGGCACTGTCTACACTGAGCTGCCTGAGTGGTCTTCCTGGAGTAGCTCCTCGCCTCACTTCCCAAGACCCTCCCCCCCACCGTCCAGGCAGCGGGCCCACGCCTTTGAGAGCCTGGCCTCCTGCTGTGATGGGGGCAGGAAAGGGCGCCCAGGAAGCCTGGGCACCTGTGGGTTCCGTCGGACAGAAGGCATCTGGATCATTTCCAGCACAGATGGTGGAGAAAGTCAGTGGTGCGATGATTATGCTAAAGAAAAATCTCAGGCCAGCCTACTTAGACACCCCCCCCTTTGTCAATGAATGAACCTCTCAAGGTGACTGCACTCCAGGTGGGGGGTGGGGTGGGCCCAGGGGCGGTTCTTGCCTGTTGTGACTCTCAAAAGGCCTGTCTTCAATGTTTCCTCCCGGGAGGGGTCTGTGCCTGTTATGTGAGCTGGCGAGTCTTGCCCTTTATACTCTCCCACTCCTGCAGTCTGTACACTGTAGCCCAGGGATCTCATAAAAATCAGCCTCAAAGTCCTCCAGTGACTTCCCAAACCTCCCTCTCCCTGCACCTGCCCCTGACTTCCACCCCCGCTCACTCTGACTTCCTCTCACGCCCTTGGGCTCTTCAGGCTTCCTGCCACCCAAGCCTTGGCCTGTCCAGTTATCTCCTCTTGGAACATTCTGCCCTCCAAGCCCCAGACCCTGCCATAAATTGTCCCATCCCCATGCATCTCAGCTCAGAAGTCACTCTCAGACAACATGCTCCTGATCCCAGACTTGCTTGGGCCCCATTACATGTTGTCATAATGCCTGCATTCTTCCTTCTTTGTCCCCAAAAATGCTTGCTGGGATTATTATTGAATATTCATTGTAGAAACGCTCCTTGCCGGATCATAGGCTCAGGGACTGTGTCTCTTGTTTGTCCCTTTACGGCAGAGCTCAGCTTCCCGTAGATGTCACGATTTCTGTCCACTGCTGCCTTCCTGGAGCCCCAGGCCCCTGCAGAGGCCTCCCTGACCTTTTCTCTTTCTGTGGCTAAGACCCCGGTTCCGGCCTGTGAGCCAGCAGCCCGCGGGCCGGTCCCCACAGAGCCCCGCTGCCAGGGCCAGTGTCCTCGCCCACCTGCGTGGAACCGCGTCTCCACAAAGATGCCTTCATTTGAGGAAAACCTTGGGGAGGAATCTTGGAAACAAAGCCAAGGCCACTGCTGCAAAAAAGATTGTTTTCAATAACAGCTTTTTTGTGCTTTTGAAATTTTATCTGTAAAGGGAATTCCCACACTACTTTCCAAGGTCTCGATCATAAAAACAAACTAACAAAAACTTGAGACATTGATACAAAAGAACACAGAGCCCCGGTTCTAGAGATGGGGCTGGTCCAGAATATGCGGGCACCTGCAGCACAGCCTCCGCCCGTGCCTGGCCCTGTGCCCCCCACCCCCACCCCCACCCCCCACCCCACTGAGCCTTCACAACAATGGTCCTGAAGAGGAGCTGCCCAGGCCCGGCTCCTACCCTGTCTTCCCAGGGGACTGTGTCCCCTGCCTGGTGGATTGGCTACAGAGGTCGGGAGACATGGACGACGGGCATTTGTCTACTTGGCGCTCACCCTTCCTGATCCTTTCTCCTGCCTCGACACAGTGGCTTTGTCACCTCACGCTTCAGCACTGTGTCTGCTCGACCCTTGGGCTCACGGCCACCCTGCCCCTCGTCTCTGGGAAGTGCCCCGTCACCCACACAGGTGGGCACCTGGCAGCCATGAGTGTGCTCCGTGGCCCTACCAACTGGAGAGGGGAAGGCGGGTTTGCCTGAGCTTAACTGGGCCGATCGGAACCTCTCCTGGAGGCTGAGGAATGAAAGGTCCTTCTCGTGGGTTTCTGAAACTCGTCACAACCTGAGGACGGCTGTGTTGTGCCCAGTGGAGCGGGGGCAGCAGCCCTTCAGAGAAAGAGAGTCTAAGGGAGGCACTCAGACAGGGGCCGAGGGACTGAGGGACCTGTCTCCCCTCTGCTCCACGCTCCTCCCGATCCTGGGCCCTTCATGTGCTGTGGGCCCAGCTGCATTCCTGCCTGTGGCCCCCATGAGATGGGCCCCTCACAAGGCCCCCAGGAGCGTGAGATGCCTGGGATGTGCAGGCAAATAATGGCCCACAAAGATGTCTGTATCCTAGTCCCTGGGACCTCTGAATATACTCGGTCACATGACAAAGGCCTGTTTTGTACTGGCCTCGGCCTATCGGTAACCAACATGGTGGCTGGACCAGCCTGTGTAGGTCTCAGTACGTCTGCAAGACGCCCTACAGCAAAAACCATCAGGATGCTGTTGATGTAAGAAATGTCCAAACCGGTAGAGAATTTTTATGAGTTTATTTGAGCCAAATCCGATGACAATTGCAGGGAAGCAAGGCCTCAAATGCTCAAATGCTCGGCAGAACGGCACTTTGCAGCTTCTTTTATGCCTTTGAGATGAAAGAAGGAACGTGAGGAGGATTACAGGGGGTGGGGGGGAGAGAGCAAGGCGGGACTGGATTGTGGGGTGGTTAAAACGCTGTGCTCTGTTCAGAGCACTTACACCTTCCAGCCACGTTTTTTACTCCTGGCATCTCAAAGGTGTGTTAACCCAGATGCGCAAGGACAGTGGGGAGGGCTGGCTTAAAAACCCGTCACTGAAGAAGTTACAGGCCCGGGCTGTGACTGCCCACCATGACCCACCTGCCCTGGTAGGAGTTTATGACTTATTACTGCACCCCGTTTTCGAGGCCTGTAAGTTACACAGCACAGCTGGGGCCAGGAAGGTGGAGAGTGGACACATGGGCCAGGGTTCTGCTTTTATTGGGGTCGCGGGTGGGGGCCTGGGGTCTGGGGGGCTCACGTCTTATTTTTAAATAAATGTTTTAAATTCACGTTTAAAATAAAACATAAGGGCTGAAATTTAAAACAGGAAGAGAAAGAAAAGCAAGTACGCCACATGGTCAGTTATGGAAATCAACCAAGATCTCTGAAACGAAGGGGCTTCTGTGGCACCTGAGTGGGAGCCCTCGGAGATCGGAGGGCTCCGCTCTCCCCACAACACTGGCTGCCCGCCCCTGCCCCGGGCGGGGCCTGGGGGTTGTGATCAAATACTTGACTTCAAGCCCTTTTGGAGTGGAAGCCACAGCTGGCCTCCCGGGACTTGGGATTGAATCACTCAGGAAGGAAATGATGAACTGGGCACTGCTTCAGGCTAACTTGTCCCTTCTGCCTGGTGAGGACACAGCGAGAAGGTGGCGGTCTGCAAACTGGGAAGTGTCCTCACCAGACCCTGGCCATGCTGGCCGCCCAGCCTGCCTCCCTGCGAGAAGCAAACATCTGTTGTTTACAAGCTGCCCGGTGGCGGTGCTTTGCCAGAGCAGCCTGAAGGGCCAGGTTCTCTCCATTCTCGAAAAATCAAGAGAAGGGCCTGCTGGTTCTTTTCGAGGGAGATGAGAACTTGCAGGTTCTTCTCTAGCAGCCATTTCACTGGGAGGTGTTTGTGTGTGAATCTGACGTGGGGACAGGCAGTGTTGAAAGGCAGCCTCTGCAGGCTCGGCCTGGAGCTGGATCCCGGCCTTCCCCCACCCTCCCCTTGGCCGTGCACACATTGTCCCCTTGTGCCCCAGGGCCACCTCCTTTGGGCCTCTGCCCACTCAGCGTGTGGCCTCCTCGTGTGGCAGTGTGCCACACCCGATGGAGGTGGTGAAGATGGAGCAACTCAGAAGGCAGCAGGTTGGGCTTCCCTGCGAACACAGTGCACCTGCTGTGCTCTCGTTCTCTGAGGACAGTTTTTCTGACACGCTCTTTAGGAGGCAGCTGAGAAAGCAAGTGAGTGACAGTTTCTGGGTCCGACAGCTTCTTGGACCAAGTCCAAAAAATGGAGCGTTTAACGATGCGCCGCCACCACTTCTGTGACAGCCAGCAGGGCACCTGGGCTGGAGGCAGGGAGTCCGGCTGGGTGAGGGCAGGAGAGGGGGCAGTAAACGGGGGTCGGAACGTCAGTCCTCCCCTGCAGGAGCGAGTCAGCCAGTGTTCATTGCTCGCTGGGACTCCCTGCTGATAGGGTCCCCTGGAGCCTGCAAAGAGACCCTTGGCCTCTGGGCTCTTGCAATGCAGAGAGATTTTAAGAAATCAGTCTCTGGTGGCGACCCAATGAATAGTGCAAATAATTTTTAGAAAAGATAGTCTTGGGGGGGCAGGCTTGATCACTAGTGATCAACACTTCCAGACAGTCCTCCAGATGGGTGACGTGATCCCCAATCCCTGGCCTGAGGTACAGGTTCAGCCCATTCCACTGTGCCCCCCACACATGACTATCCTGCGATTTCTTCTATTCTCTCATGTTCTTCGAGGTGGCTCTTTACATGGGCGTCACCTCCAGCTGCCTCCGGGATTCTCCAGGACAGATGTGAGTGTGGGTGTCTGTCACTGTGCCCAGCGCACACCCCATCGCCGTTGTTGAATTTCACACCACCGCAGAGACTGGATGTGTCAGATGGCCCCCAGCAGGGAGGCCGGCCAGGGCAGGGACTGCCGCTGGGGTTGGGAGGACTGGAAACTCGGAAAAGAAAGTGCTTCGGCCTCCCGCCACCTCCTCTCCAGGCGTGTAACGCCCTCCTAGTCTTCTGGTGCAAATGCTGTCTCAGGACGAGCGCGCAGGGCTGGGGACGTCAGGAATCCAGTCCCCCAAAGGAATGGCCCAGCCTCATGTCAGAGCGTCCCAAGGTTGTATCTGTGGTGCAGCAAGAAACCACCCCAGTCTCAGGGGCTCGGACAACAAGGGTCCGTTCATTGCTCATCCTTCTTATGCACTTCGGGCTGGTGGGCTGGGAGTGGGAGGGCCTGCTCACCGCAGTCTCTGGCGGGGGTGGGGGGTGAGGGGCGGGGGGCGGGCACCTTGCAGGGTGCTCCTCCCAGGCCAGCTGCACCCGGCTCTTGTTGCTTTCTGCCTGGAAGCGATGGATCCCCAACACTGAGCTGCTAAGCTGCCTTGTCCAACTCTGTCCCCTCGATGCCCCGGCCGCCCCGCCTCTGGTGCCTACGGTCTCAACCGGCCCCACACGACTTAACAGTGGCAGCTCTGGGGCCCCATGCCTCACTCATGGGGCCCAGGAGTTCCCAGTATTACACCTTTCGACGGAGCAGGAGCGGCCCCACCTCTCCCAGAATGGTCCAGAATGGTCCCAGGCCTCCTCCTGGCCTCTCTTCCCCACACCCCCAGGGAGTGGACTGCTCCTGGGAACTGGGGAACGGAACACACTGGTCGCACCCACCCTCAGCGGCTCAGTGCCTCAGTTTACCCATACATAAAACGTGGGCTGCATCTGTCCCTTCTTACGTTACGAAGATTCGAAGAATGGTAATAAAGCACCGGCCGGCTCTGTAGAAGAAAGGGGCTCTATATACTGTCACAGTTTTGTCCTCTAGTTCTCCACCCCCTACTGCCTGGAACCTTCTGGAATGTGCTGCATGGGCCAAACTAGAGAGGGGAGAACCCAGGGACGGGTGGGGGTTGGCAAGTGAATGGTCTCAGGCCTGGGAATGTGGAAACACAGGCAACTATGTTGCCAAGAGCCTGTCGCTCAAAGGGAAGCAGGGGCAAGGCTGCAGATTGTTGGGGAGGGGCCCTTGGGCCAGGCCATCTGGAGTCCTGGGAGGGCAGCTGGGGGCACTCAGAAGTGAGGGGGTGCCTGTAGAAATGGCCTCCAGATGTGGGCCACCCTGGGCACCAGGCCCAGCTGCCCGAACTGCAGCCGCAGGGGCCTGCAGGCCTTGAGGTCGCTGTAGAGAGCCGGCAGCCCGTCGTGGGGCCGCAGGGAGAAGCGGGCCTGTGGGCTCAGGGCCCCCCAAAGGCCGTGGTAGAGCTGCTGCCTGGAGGGCGGAGGTGGGTTTGGGGCCAGAGGGCTGCCCCGCCCTGAGGACAAGGACAGGCTCTGGTCCTGGGGGTTGCTTCCCGAGGAGGGGCTGCTGAAGGGGTCGCTGGTGGAGCAGCTGCTGCCGCTGAGGCGGCCAGGCTGGGGGCTGTGTCCCACTCGGGGCTGCAGGGGTGGGACCAGCCCAGGGGACTTCAGGCCCAGCACCGGCTTGGAGGAGGCGTACAGGTGGCGGAACTCCTCGTCAAACAGCTCCACTGCCTGGCCCGTGAACTTGGAGAGGATGTTCCGGTGGACGTGCCCGCAGAGCCAGGTGAAGCTGTGGAAGGAGGAGAGAGTGAGGGTGGGGGTGGGGGTGGGGGGGCCACCGCTGGGCCTCCGGGGCCTTCCTTGGGGCAACTCCGGGCAACAGCTGGACTAGCAAGAGGGGGATGCCCACGCCCGCTGCCTCCTTTCGTCCTGGCGGAAGCCCTGGAGGGAGACCCTGGGGCCCCCTTCACAAATGCCCGCTGGTCAGTGACGAAGCTGCCAGAGTGGTTCTCTGGCCTCAGGTCAGTGCCCCCTGCGGACGGCCCACAGGCTCTGAGTGCCCACTGAGTCCTGGTGTCCCGGACTCTGTGCTCCTATGAGTCGCCTAGTTCCCCGTGGCTGCACCTGTGAGAGTGGGAACACCTGCTTCTTCTACGCACACAGGGGGCTGGAGAGGTCAGCCGCTCCTTGGAGGGCGGAGGCTGTAGTCTGGGAGAATCTTTGTGGGCAGGGAGGACCTTCACTCTTTGGGAGCGGGGAGAGAGAACGCAGGGTGAGCCCACAGGGATGGGCTGTGAGTGCATTTGCTGGGACACCCATGAGGGGACACCCTCGGGCAGAGGTCGTGTCCCTCCGCCCACCTGCAGGGTTTAAGTGAAAACAAGACGCCCAAGGCATTTATGTTTGATCTTTTATGACTCCATGACGTAGCCAAATTTCTTTCGATGTCTGATGGGAACGCCCCAACCACCACAAAAAGAAAACCCTTGAAAATGTCTGGTGACAGCACAGAAGACCCACCACGAGCATCAGGTTAGAGAGTCCTGCATCCCTGACAATGTGGCCCCGGGCATGGGGAGCGACGGGGGCCCTTAGTCAGGGGAGCACAGGTCATCCCCAGGGACGGCGCCAGGGCTGAGCAGAAAGAGCCCCAGCAAAGCCTCAGCCTCCATCCCCCAGTCCACCTCTGGCCTCGGCAGGGTCTGGGAGGCCGGGCAGGGCCCCCAGGAGGCTGGGGCAACACTGAGAAGAACAACGAGGCTTTGTTTAAACCGCACTTCCTGCCCGGGAGCCACCCACTCAGCCCCAGACTGCTGAGCAGCTGATGCTGGGCCAAGGGCCAGCCAGGTGACAGGGAAGGTGGCCACGACAGGGACAGTGGGACCCCTGGCTACATTAAGAAATCGGACGCCCTGCAGGTTTGGAATCAGGCTAGATTAGGCTGACAACTGTGCTCTTTGTGCGGCAAAACAGGTCCAAAGGGGCCCAGTGACATTTCAGGTCCCCATCAGTACATCTGTGCACTCTGTGCCCCCACCACCCCATCTCCACGTGCCCCTGCGTCCCCGAGCACCCCTGTAGCACCTGCACGCCCCCCATGCACCATGCAGGGGTCTCCCTCACTTACTCTACGCGTCCTTTTATCCCCACCCATTGTATGAAGTACGTTTTCTTTTTATTGGGTTTTGACCCTTAATCACATAGAATTGACTTAATCGTAATCTTTGGCTGAAGACCCACTCCCATCTTTGGTCTGTTCTGGGCCCATTTTCATGAATGTAGCTATTCACACTCCGTTATTTTAATGTAATAAGCACCTATGAACCCACCACATAAAATAAAAGCTAATGGGCCGGGCTGGTGTGACTCAGAGAACTGAGCACAGGCCTGTACACTGAAAGGTCACTGGTTCAATTCCCAGTCAGGGCACATGCCTGGGTTGTGGGCCAGGTCCCCACCATTTGCGGGCAGGTGCTCACTGATGTTTCTCTCTCTCTCTTTCTCCCCCCTTCCCCTCTCTCTAAATAAATAAGATCTTTTAAAAAGTAAATTAAAGCTAGCATGTTAACAATAATTGCATCTAAGCACATCAAAGACCCTATAAATCCAACATTTTTCATTGTCTGATTGTTTCTTTTTTGCTCGTTGAAGAGGTATAAAATAGTACCGCATTCTAGCCTTGGTTTGCATTTTCTGACCCCACTGACGCTGAGCACGTCCTCATCCTGTGCTTCCACACGCGTCCCACCGGTGACGCGCCCACTCACGTCCCTCGCCCACACTTCTGTTGGGACTCGTGGGAGTTCTCGGTGGCTCTTGACACGGATCTGTCAGGGCACCGTAAAAAGCTGCTTCCGGTTCGTAACCCAACTTTCTACTTTCTCGAAGATGTTTTTCCACGAACCAAGGCTCTTCATTGCAATATGAGCACAGTCAGCAATCCTTTACAGTCGATGCATTTTTGGTTTCTGTTTAACACAGACAGCTAATCCTTACCCTAAATTCTAAAAAGAATCATCTGCCCTGGCTGCTGTGGCTCAGTGGGTTGAGCACCGGCCTGCGGACCTAAGGCACACTGGTTCGATCCCTGGTCAGGGCACATGCTGGGGCCCTGTGAGAGGCAACTGATCGGTGTTTCTCTTATGCTCTTCCTCCCTCCTTTCCCCTCTCTAAAAGTAAATAAATGAAGTCTTTCAGATTTTCCTTCTGGAGCGCTATTGCTTTCCAGCCCGCTCCGTCTCTCCCCGCGGCCCTGGCGCGCCCTGGCCTGGTTGCTGTGGGTCTGTGCCTGGGCTTTTCTCGTCCGTTGCGTTTGTCAGTTTGTCTTGCCCAAGAGCTGCAGTAACTGAGACAAACTGAGACAGCTACTTGACGAGTCCTGATCTCTGGCAGGGCAATCCTGCCTGTTCCTCTTCAGACTTATCTCGGCTCCCGCTGGAGAGACACATTGTACACTGTGGCCTAGTCACATACGCAAATACGTGCATAACCTCAGAGCAACTCCCAGAACCCCCCCTACCTCAGTGTGCTCTGAGTATTTCTCCTCTTTTCTACTTTGTTATACTTTGTTAAAAAAAAAAGGAAAAGCCGGGCATCATCCACTGAGTGTTTTCAAACGCTACCAGTGGATGGCGAGGCACAGTTCGAAAAACTCTGTTTCTCTAGCCACCCTGGCTGGCCAGGAGCTAACACGGACTGTCGTTCGCTTATTCATTGTGCAGACACTGTATTAACTGTGCTTCCTGCCAGGAGCGCGGTAGAGAGGGAGACAGACCCAGTCCAGGTCCCGGGAGCACGTTGTTCATCATGTTGGCTGAACGGGTCCACAGTTCTCTAGGGGATGACTTAGAAGCTGCCACCTGCAAGGTAAGTTCGCAGGATGGAGACAATTCGGATGAGCTCTCCAGCAGAGGAGTGAAACAGCAAGTGCTAAGGGCCTGGGGCATGAAAGAGCAGGAAAGGCCTGGGAGGAGCCTAGTGTGGTTGCAGCATGGTGGAGGGGGAAGAAGACTCTTGCCAAGACAGAGGAGACCGTGGTAAGAATGTGGATTTTTTCCTATGATCAGTGACAAGTGTGGAAGTATCTTAAGGTCAATTCAATGTGGTTTGTGCTTAAAAATCCTTCTGCTCTGGGTAGAGGAAGCCCAGACATGGTAGTGCGGGCCAGGGCAGGAGGAGACTCAGGGGCGAGTTAGAAGGCCGTGCTGGTAGGTATCATGCTGTTCCTCATGCTGTTCCAGCTGCCTCATTTTGCCCCCCATCCCCATCCCAATCTTTCTCTTGCTCCAAGGCCCACTCCCACCTCCGAGACCTGGGAGCAGAAGGGGGCTCCCTCCTGTCTGACCCCAGAGCACCTTCTCAGCTCACCCTGATCCTAGAGCACACATTGCCCGACTCCGTGGCCACTTACCCACGTTTTTTGAGGGGAGAGGAGTTCTGTGTCTCCAGCACCTGGCAACAGCGCCTGTGCTGGGGTAAGACCCTCAACAAGAACTTAGATGTTGAAACGCACCCGGGGCCTGGCACAAAGCTCACCAAGGTTAACCGGGCTCCATTCACCAGCACCGAGGGCCGGGCCAGCGCTGGAGGTGAGTTCTGGAAGGACAGACGCTGATGAAAACTGGGCTTAAATCCCCTAACAAAAATACAATTTCCCCCTCTTCACTTTCTCTTTCGGAATTTCTCTGTTTCAACCACATGGAAGTCTTTTTAATGGCTCGATAAGCCTCTTGCCAGTCTCGCACCTGGTTGCTAGGGGCTGAGGAGGGGGAGTGACTGCTTAATGGTGAAGGGACGCGGCCACACCACCCCTGAATATATATACGTCTCTGACAGAAGAGATACTTTCAGCCGAAGGAATGTGAGAAACAGAGTGGGAACTGAACTTAAGCCATCTGACTTGTAGGCTGGGCCGCTGCCGTTTCCAGTCCAGGTGCCACCCGAAGGTCCTGCAACAGTTGGCGATTCTCTGACAGGGAAGGGGAGAAGGGACCGAAAGCTGGTGGTTGGGGGCCACAGAGAGGGGTGTTTGTCATTTATCTAGGACACTGTGACAGTTCAGCAAGCCCTGTCCATCCCGAAGTGAGAGGTAGGCTGTCTTGGTGTCCTCCAGTCTTCTTGGGGACCACATGTCCCCTCCCCCGGCCAAGCTGACATCATTCAGGCCTGTCTTGCTTGGTAGCCCCTCAGGACTCACCCTTTCAGATCTGTGCCCTTCCCTCGGGGCCCTGCCAGGGTACTGGCTGGCTAATGGCAATCATTTATTGAGCACCTACTATGAACCAGGAGCTATGCCACATGTCTTGCAAACTTTATCTGCAGTGGAAGGTACTGTTACCCCCACCCCCCATTTAACAGAGAAGGAAAGTGATGCCATAAAAAGAACTGAATTGCGCACTTTAAATCGGTGAATTATCTGGTATGTGAATTATATCTCAATACATTTGCTATATTAAAATAAAACACTTGAAAATAAAATGGGGAACACACACACCCTGAAACAAATTGCACGGTTTTATAATCACCCCTGAGATAGCTGAGGAGGGAATCAGCGGGTTCTGTGTCTTATTGTAACATCAAGGGAAACTGAGGCACTGGAACGAGCCCCTCTACCCCGAAGCCTTCCTAGGAGAGGCTCATTTCCGCCCTTTTGCCCAGGCCCGTCCTCCCTCCTGGGGGCTGCTGGCGGCGGGTGGGCCTGAGCACTGGGGCCGGTCTGCACCACACTCAGCCTTGGCCTCGCACCCAGCTGAAACCCAGGGCTCACCTGTACGACCCCGAGAGGACGTATCTCCAGTCCGAGATGATGAACTTCTCCTGGATCTGGCCAGCGAACTTCCGGCCGGATTTGGCACAGTACACCTCCGCCTCCACACTCCGGATGGAGATGTTCTGTTGGAAGGAAGGTCAAGGTGTCGCTTGCTAATAATGTGTTTATGGACACACGTTTGCCTTGGACAAGTCTGGGAGGGTGCGCACCAACCCATAAACAGGGGGTGTTTCTAGGTGGTGGGGTTATGGGCCATTTCAGTTTCTGCCTTGGCCAAATTTTCTTCACTGTCCTGACATTACTCAAAGTAACGGAGGAGGAAAAGGACGTGAGAGATGGTAGAACTTTTAAAAAGCAGAATATAGAAGACAAGGGCCTGGTGCCCATGGAGCCCTCGGTCCAGGCTCCCCTGGACCACAGACGTCAGGCAGGCCCAGCCCTGCCCTGCAAGTGACTTTAGTGACGTGCGTAAGTCTCTGACCCGAGGCTGGTCAGAGGGAAGGCTCAGAACAGCCAGGGCTAAAAAAAAAAAAAAGTGTGTCCCCGACCCAAATCACTGTGGGTCCTGTTTGTCCCCTTCCTCCCCCACAGCGTCTGCTGCCCCAGCCCTCACGGAGCCCTTGGGAGGCCTGGGGATCTCAGAGTGGGGGGGGGCCACTGTGGGGGGATCTCAGAGTGGGAGGTGGGGAAAGCCTGCGGCTGCTGGGGGTGCTCAGGGACAATGGCACCTCCGGCCTCTCCAGGCAGCTAGGTGAGGCCAAAGGGCTGTGGGCGGAAGGAATGAAAATCTCTGCGAGGTCAGGGCTTCTTCCCGAAGGCCCCTCCTGCCCCCTCTCCCATCACTGCAATCCAGGAGGCTGCATATTCCTCCTGATGTAGCTACAGGATGAGGGAGGGCCGCCTGGCCTACACTTCGAGCAAGAAATAAACCTTGACTGCGTGCAGCCATTGACGGTGGTGGGCGGGGGAGGGCTGTTGCCATGGCACAGCCCATCTTGCTCTCACACAGGCACCTCGTGGGCGCTCCTCGGGGCCCCTACCTTCAGGTGACCGTCCGAGATCTGCACTTTGTCACACATCTCCTGGAAGAGCCTCACACCTCCCTGGTCCAGGAGCACACAGACAAACACCCCGCGCTTGTTGGCCGCCTCCAGCATGTCACAGAAGATCTCCACGTCGGTGAACACATCCATCAGGACGGCCAGGACCTGGGCCGGGAAGAGCGGTCCAATACCAGAAGAGTCAGGCAAACTCCCTCAGTCCCCGTGGGCCTGGGCGAGCTGGTCCCACTGGGGCTGAGTTAGAGGGGAAGGGAGGGTGGGGGCGGGCCTGGCAGGGGCAGCTGGGGAGAGGGCTCCGGCCTGTGTTCTGCTCCACCCTCCAGCCCCGCCATGCTCCGCTGGCCTCTCTGCCCACGGGTGGAATGGAGAATGCAGAGCAGGGAGGAGAGAAAAGCATAAAGAGGGGGAAAGAGCAGAAGGGGAGGTGGCCAGGCAGGTTCGGAGGAGGGGATAGATTTAATGTCATGAGTCCTCAGACGTCTGCAGCTCAAGGGCCCTCTGTGGCCATTGGTTTTCAAATGTTTTTAAGCTGCGGAATCCTTGCCTCAACCATAATCCTTGTAGAGACTCCATACATATATTATTTATTGATTTTAGAGAGAGAGAGGAAGGGAGAATGAGAGAGAGAAACATCGATTTGTTGTTCCACTCACCTCGTATTGCGTCCTGACCAGGGACCTTACCCACGACCTTGGCGTACCAGGATGATGCTCTAACCAACTGAGCCACCTGGCCAGAGCCAGAGACCCTCCCCTCCAACCCGCACATAAACTAGACTAGCCAGTGGGGTGAGGGGGCTCCTGCTCCGCCAGCAGTAACTGTGTCTTCTTCTATCACAACGGAAACTCGAGGAGTGGGAAGCCCTAGACACCCAGCAAGCGGGAGAGACTTCTGTGAGCCTGCCTACCCAGCATGCACTCCTCTCCTTCTAACAACAGCCCCACACTCTCACATTAAGAAATCACTTCTCCACCATATGATTTCACTTATAGGTGGAATCTAAATAAACAAACAGATGAAACGGAAACAGACCCATACACACAGAGAACAGATTGATGGTCGCCAGAGCGGGAGTGGATTGGGGGGCTGCGGGGAAAGGGTGAAGGGACTAAGGAGTAGAAATTGGTAGTCACAGGGCAGTCACAGGGATGTAAAGTACAGCACAGGGGATTCAGTCAATAATATTGTAATAATATTGTTATTATTTATTGTAATAAATAATATTGTAATATTGTAATGAATTCATGTAGTGCATGTAAACTGCAACTGAAAAATAAAATTGAAAAGATCACCTTTTCTCCACAATCAGTGTGGTTTGGGTGGAATTTCTGCCCCGCCGTGGACAGAGCATGGGGAGGGCACATCACCAAGGCCAGACCAATGAGAACACTGCATCCCCCACTGGCCACAGAGATTGGCGCGGGGGTGGCCACGTGATCTAAACGAAGTATTCTAATGAGGGTCAGCCTAGGACTCCTGCGGGGACTCTTGGGGAGGTATTAGTTCCACTGGGGTTGCTTAGGTAGCAGGCTACAAACTACAGCAGCTGGCAGCATCTTGCCACCACGTGGGGACAGCCTGCCTGAAAACAAAGCCAGCCCCAAAGAGAGAAAGCCCCAGAGGTGGGGACCGATCGCCATGGCATCATTCGAACATCCAGTTTCAGTCATGACTGAAGCCATTCCTACCCTTGACTTTTCCACTGTGGATGTCAATGCATGTTCCCCCTCTTGTGCTTATTTGGGGTCACTTTCTGTGATATTGTCATTTATAGTAAGAAATGCATAGAATCCTGTGGCTGGCACCGAGCTCCGCAAACCCCTGGAAAGCCCTGAGTGACGAGAACAGTAACGGCATCTGTAACAACAGACCAAACTTGAGGGTGGGGCTGGTCACCAGAAGACCCCACCCTGTGATGCCAGGGTTGTGGCGCTCAACCACACCTCCACCCTCCCCCCAGCCTCTGAGATGGAAGGGGGGCTGGAAGTTGGATCAATCACCAATGGCCAATGATATAATCAACCGTATGTATGTAATGAGCCTCCAGAAAGACCCAGCAGGATGGGTTCAGAGAACTTCCAGGTTGGTGGACAAGTGAGGATTTGGGGCGAGTGCTGGTCTGGGAGAGGGCGTGGGCGCTCAGGGCCCTTTTCCTGTACGTGCCCTATGTGTTGCTTCCATCTGAATCTTCCTGAGTTACGTCCTTTTGTAATGAATTCATTGTCTAGTAACTAAATGTTTCTATGAGTATTGTGAGCCGCTCTAGGAATTTAATCAAACCCAAAGAAGAGGGCATTGGAGTCTCTGACCGGTGATTGTCTGAAGCACAGGTCACGTCGGGATTGGCCTGAGTTGAATCGGAGGACACCCAGCTGGTGTCAGAGAAGCGCTTGGTGGTGTGGGAAGACGCCCCCACACAGTGGAACTGGAGCAGAACTAGACTTTTTTTTGTCACCCAGTGAAGACTCCTTCCTGCTAGGACAAAAGCCACTTTTGCAGGCCCTCTTTCCCAAAGCTAGCAAGAACCCCAAGCACGACTGACCCTAACTGCTCTATGAGCCTCTATCCACAGGACTAGAAATTACTGGAAGTGCCCTGAAGGCGCAGAGGCTCCAGGAACACCCAAGAAACTGCACAGACCAGAAACAGGACACGCCAGGCCCCCACGACCTGACCCCGGGCCTCACTGACCAGACACCCAGACGCTGCACCCGAAGATAACATCCGAACAGTCGCTCTGCAGCCACCCCACTGCCCAATTAAAACTCACGGCCCCACGACCCCTCGGGGCTGGTGCGGGTGCTGGCGGTGCTGGTGCAGGTCTCCACGCCCAGCCCTGTCCCTCCCTTGGAAAAGTAAAACCAAACCTTTCCCCCCTGCACTTCTTTTTCTTTGTGAATTCTTTCCCAGCCCCCGCATCACCGACCACCCTAACACTTCCTCGTTTAAACTGTGGCATATCGACAAGTCAGTGATGACAATTACCATGGTGATATAGAAACTGTAAGACTGGACAAAATGGTAAAATAAAACTTGTCATGTAATACATGCTCAACAAACACGTATTAACAATTAATGAATTACATACACACACACAGAGCACAGAACAGCGGTATGTCCACTAGGTTGCCATGAGGGAGATCGGTGTGCAGACAGACAAGCACAAAGCCCAGAGCAGCGGTCACGACTGACTGGTGGACTGTGGCGGTCGTTTTCCTTCATCAGTACCAGTGATAGCCATGCACCTCCCTTCACCTCCGAGTAGGTGGCTGGCACCCACTCAGGGGCCGCCCTTCTGCTCCTTGCTGTGCGGTGTTCGGAAGGGGTGAGGCCTGCTGCTAAACCCGCTCACCCTGGGCCGCAAGCCAGCAAATGCGCTCTCGCGGCCAGACGCACGATCCCGGGGGACCCTGCCCTGCTGTGGCATGACTGAGTCCCTGCACCCATTTATGACACCAGTGACCCGCCGTCCTTTCTGCTGAAGGACCAGTGCCTCCTCCACCAAGTTCTGGACAGAAGAGGCAATCCTCTCTCCCCAGGATGTCAGTAAAGCCTCCGGGCGGCCTTCCAGGGAGTCCTTGTTTCCCTGAAGGTTTCTGCTCAGGCGGCCTCCCTCCATCCTTGCCTGACCCTAGACCCTCCTCCTTCTGCCCACTGCGCACCTCCCTCAGACCAGCTGGCAGTGACCCAGTAATGCATGTGTGGGAGGGGAGGGGGGCACAGCCCATCCAGGGCAGGGTCTCAGCCCGAATCCGTGGGTGGGGAGCTTCTTCCTCCTGGCTCCACCGCAGGCCCCTCCACCCACCCAACCTCCCAGAGGGCTCATTAGAATTTCTTTCCGCAATGAATCTGTATTTCTTGCCCAGAGAAAGGGGGAGGCAGAGGGAGAGGGGTTTGAGCGAGCAGAGGGAGCTTGCCTGCCGAAGTTCTTCAGCTTTCTGGTCTCAGGACCCCTCACACTCTTAAAAAATCGCCGAGGATTCCAAAGAGCTTTGGTTCATGTGGATTAAAGCCGTCGATATTTGTCATACTAGAAACTAAAACTGAGGACATTTAAAAATGTTTATGTTTTAGTTATTTATGAATAACTAATATTAGCTACTTGAAACAATATTAAGCTCCTTACACGTTTAACATAAATAACCACTTTCATGAAAAATAACTGTATCTTCCAGAACAACAACAGAACGCGGCAAGCAGAGTGGCGCTGTCGTGCTGGGTTGTAAATCCCTATGGCGTCTGGCTTCCCAGACGGCTTGCGTGGCCTGTCTGCTTCTGCAGCAATCTGCCCTGATACGCTGTTTGGGTGGAAGTATACAAAGACATTGTAAACTGGCCTCGCACAGATAAGTGGTTACAAAGGGCCCGAGTGAAAGGGTCTCAGGATCCAGGGCCACATTTGGAGAATATACTAATCAAGGCTTTTGTTTTTCACATTTTATGATGTTTGACATCCCAGAGCCAACAGATTTCTAGAGACAGCAAACACCCTGCCTGTGAGATGCCAAGCAAGCAACGCAGAGCCAATACTCCAACTGCCCCCCTTATTTAACTGGCACACAGCACGTACCCCTGCCCTTAATCACCCAGGGCCTGGTCCTGGACAACTCAGGGCCACCCAGAGCCCTGAGCCTGCTGAAATGATCCAGTCTGGCCAGTCTCACACTGTGCTCTGCTTTGTCCTTCCTGCAAAACCAAAACAAAGGCTCTGCCCATCCTTTCCCCTTGTTTGTCCTGTCTGCTGACCACCCTGGTGCTTCCCTGGTGTGGTCCTGCGTGGCTTCTACTTCTAGGGACAGTGCACACAAACCTCTTCCACCCTGACTGCGTGGCTTGCTGCACCTGGTTGAAGCAAAACCTCAGGCACATTTGAGAGTAAAGAACTGTTGCTCGCTCTTTAGCCCCAGGCATAAGGCACAGCAGCTTCTAGCCCCACCAGCTTCTGATCCTTGTCCCCACCCACACCACTCCTTGAGGTCCCAAGTCAACAAGCTCTGTCCCACCAGGTGGATGACTGTGTGTTCCCACCTCCTGGCCCCTCAAGTGCCCTCATACCCGACCTTGGTGTTCGACACTCCCTAGGCCTGGAATTCCTTTCCCTTCCCTCTCTGCCTGGCAGACTGTTACTCAGCCTTCGAGTCTCAGCTCAGAGGCCACCTGTTCGTGAAGCCTGCCTTAGTCACCTCCTGTCCACTTCCAGGAACAAAGGGTTGCTCAAGCTCAAGGCTGCCACCCACGAGTGTGTTCCACCCTTGTGCTCCCTCCCACCCTCTGCCCTCCTCCCTTCTCTCTGCTCTCCCGGGGAAGTTCTGAGGGAGCTGCCCGAAGGGAAGGAGGCTTCTCGCTCTGCTCTGCCACGCCGGCCTGGCTGGCGGAGCTCCAGGCACCGCGACTGGAACGTGGTCAGGAGTTCTCAGTGTCCTGGATCACGGGCCATAAGTGGCTGCCTGCGGTCAGCTGTGGCTGCTTCTACCCCAGGTGCACACGACAACGACTCTCCAGCACAGGCTAGAAGCCCTGTGTGCCCTCCCAAAGCTGCAGACGAGCGACAGACTCCCAGGGAAGAAATGTCGTCCGTGAAGATGCCCCATCTCTGTCTTTGTCTCTCATCACTTAAATTTAAAAATTTGGTCACATTGAAAAGAATTTAAAAAATCAGATACTTAAGTCTTTTTTTTTCCCCCCGTAGTCCCAAGTTTAATACTGTGGGAAATCAGCAGGCTCCAGAAAAACCCACCAGGGTGGGAAGGTTAAGTGTAGATAGTTGGGTGCAGGGGGATTGGAGTTACGGAAAATTTAAACGAGAGGTAACATGGGTGGAATGTTGACTCTTCATGTCACTGGGCTGCTTCAGAGCAGCGTGTTTAATTGACAGACGGTCCGAGGCAGTCAGCCAGGAATGGTGGCCCTACCTACGTGGGGCTGGGGCTGGCCCCACGACCCAGGGCAAGTCCCTTAGCCTCCCGAGCCTCAGAGTCCACGCCAGACTAAGGTCCCTTCCAGCTCCAGGGCCTGTTTCCAGGTGTGCTGGCTCGGGTCTCTCTGTGTGGGAAGAGGAAGTTCACTGCTCTCCAGGGGCTGGGATGGCTGGTGTTGGGGGAAATTCTTAGCTGAAGCTGCTGCTCACAGGGTGAGCGACCCTCCCTGGAGAGGAGCCAGGCTGGGACTTGTGAAACATAATCCCCTGGCTGAGTCCCTCCCCTTCCCCTAAGCCCCACCCAGCAAGGCTCTTCTTCACCCTCCCCAGCCCCCCCCCACCTCCCCTCTGTGCCCGGAGGCGGCTAATGTCCTTTCTTTCACCGACACAGCGGCACAGCGTGTTATGAGTTTGAGACAAGGCTCACGAACCAGATTTCACATAGAAACAAGGACGGCCAGCTCCTCCCAGCAGGCGGGCCGAAGACTGGCTCTGTCGGGCCTGAGCTGCGGCCACCGCTTTGGGTGGGTCTCCTTGGCCACAAACCCTGCCTCTGGTCTGAGGTCCCCATGAATTTCCCCCATTTTGTTGCCTGTCAGGCCTTTGCAGGCAGAGTCTGTGACACACACACACACACACACACACACACACACACACACACACGGGCTTAAGGACAGGCTGCTCCCACAGAGATGCCAGGGCGGCTGGATTCCCAGCTACGGGCTGTCCCTGAGAGCAGGCTGTGACCCCTGCGGAGACCTTCACTGGCTTCCAGTCACCCACAGTGGGAAGAACAAACTCCTTGCAAGGCTCACAACCTCTCCAGTTTCTCTCCCACCTCCTGCCACTCAACGCTGAGTGACATGCAGACCCTCAAACCCACCATGCTCTGTGTTGGGGCCCCGAGTGCGCTGTTCCTTCTGCTTCGGACCCCCTCACCTTCCTTGTGTTTTGCCAGACCAATGCCTACTCCCTCTCAGGACCCGAAGTCCTCTCTTCAGGAAGCCCTTTCCTGAATTCCCAGGCCAGGCCAAGTGCCTCACCTCCATGCTTCCAAATGAAGGAGCCACACCACTGGGGCACGCACTTGTTCCTTATCCTCTCTAACTTTGCTCAGGCCTGTCTGTGCACAAGTGACCATGAAGCGTCTGGACCCATGTGTGGTCGGGCAGAAAAGGGACTGAGTTAGATTTGAAGTGCAGAAGAAGTGATCCAACAGCATGGAGCCCGGGTGGCTGTGCACTGAGAAGGAGGATGAGGGCCAGGCAGGAAACTGTTGTGGGGGACTCTGTGGGGGTGGCAGCCGGGACCCAGACTACGGCAGATAGATTCAGGAAGCCAGTGATTCCTGGCAAGGCAGAAAGTGACATCCCTGGCTCCATTGCTTAGAATGGGACACACCCCCCTCTCCCTCCTCCACCAGCCCCCATTCCTCCCCGCCCATGGCCAAGGAGACACAGGCTGGGCCACCGCTACCTGGCTGGTCCGAGCGATGCAGCGGCGGATGAGGTCCCTGATGTTGTTGTGCTTGTCTGTCTGGAAGTACACGGTGGCACTGGACTCCTCCTTCAGGTAGGGCTTCTCGGACGAGGCCCAGGTGTGCAGCAGGGCAGGCTCGCTGCCCTCCGAGGCCGCAGGGTAGTAGGTGCCTGACTGCAACGAGCAGGAGTCCAGTCCCTTGGTTCCGGCCTCGGTGCCTCCTGGGGTCTCCGGAGTGCAGGGGGGCTCCTGGGCCTGGGCCTGGATGTACTGGGCCTCCATCGAGGACAAGAAGTCCACCTCGCCTTCCTTGTGGAGGACCTGCTGGTAGGCCTCGGGCCCCCCGTCCAAGAGGGCGTCTGTGGCCAGCCGGGCGCTCTCATTGTCGCTGAAGTCAGGCCTGGCGGGCCGGACCCACTGGCTCTTGACATCCTCCAGGCGTCTGCGGATCTTGCCCATGTGCCTTGACCGGCTCATGCCGCCCTGCCCCTGAGTTGTGGTGGGGAGGCTGGCACTCCAGCTCTTCCCGATGCCAGGGGCAAGCAGGCCACACCGCTGAGGAGGAGCAGAGGCCCTGGACCTCCAGGAAGGCACTCAAATTTCAGGACCAGTGTGCACCCAGGATCCAGGGCTACCTGCCACCCTCACACCCGCTCCACCGGAGTGATTTCCCGCTGTCTGTCCTGAGCAATGCTTCACTGAGATCACCAGCTGCAAACAGGTTGGCATATCTCTGAGAGATGCCCGCCCTGCCCCGAGGCCAGGGGGCTGGCTGAATCACGCCTTGGCACATCAGCCTGGGAGATTCCCCCCTCCCAGGAGCAGTGGGAGGCCTCGGCGAGCCGCATTTCCGCTTGCTTGTTGCACAACTGTCCTGGAGACCCTCTGTCTGTGTTATGAACCCGGGTCTTCCCCCAGCACCACCATGCCTGGGCCCCTCAGTTCAGACACTGACTGCCTCAAAGACCAGGATGTCCCTGTGGGGGACAGGCTGCCCCCGGATCTGCCTTCCGACCTGTGTGAGCAGGGAAGCTGGATGCAGGCCAGGTGCTGCGCCTTTCTCTTGGTAACACCCAAGTTCCCGGTCCTCTCTGTCCTCTGAAGAAGCTCTTCTCTCCCATCTCTTTCCTGCATGTGATTGTCGTGGTCATGTTTGAACAGAAGCCCCAGAGAGGTTCCAGGTCTGGGGCCAGTGCTGAGAGGACCCTGCCGCTGTGTCTGGGCCATCGGACCCCCGGGATCCGTCTGTCTCACTGCCGGAGGGGCAGGTGGCAGCGGCATGTTTGAAGTATGGGAACTCCCAAGGGAGAAGCCGCGTTTTCTTTCCAGGTGAGGTCATGGTCACTTGCATGTCAATAAGATGAGATATCTACAGTCCTGACTGTCTATGATTGGGTTCTGCCAGAAATAGACTCTGAGAGTAGGATTCAAGTGTGGCCATCCCCCTATACCTACAAGGGATTTGTTCCAGGACCCCCCCAGATACCCAAATCTGTGGATGCTCAAGCCCCTTGTATGAAATGGGATAGTATTTGCATATAACACAGGCACAATGTCCCTCCTTTATACTCTAAATCTCTAGATTATCTCTAGCACCCGCAACAATGCAAATGTTATGTAAATAGTTGTTATCCTGTATTATTCAGGGAATAAAGACAAGAAAAAAGTCTGCCCATGTCAATACAGAAGCATCCATTGTAGGCCTAACTTACATAGTCAGAAACAATGTCACATTTTTCTATCTTTTTTTGAAAATGCTTGATCAGTGGTTGGTTGAATTTGCGGATATGTAAACCACAGACAAGGACCCACAGATGGTGCAGATACAAAGGTTGCCAATTGGGAGATGATCCCCAGAAGCACAGATGGGGGAGGGGAGAGTGAGGCAGGAAGGGCAGGGAGCCATTCTGGGGCGTGTTAATGAGCAGGTCACCCCTGTGGGGTTATGAACACGTGTAGGGTCCAGTCCCGCCAGGGCCTCTGGGGGGGGGGGGTAGTGTAGAACACATCTCAGATTCTTTTTACCCAAAGGCTGAGAAAGCCACAGGCTTTATCTACCAGGTCGAGGGCTGCTCCCGGAGCCCCATGGATTCCCCACTCTGCTGGCCTGCCCGGTGGGCTCACCACGCACATCCGCGAAGCCAGAGAAAGCCTGCAGGAGGCGGCACAGGTGAGAACAGAGGGAGACGGTGGGAGCGGTAAGTGCCAATGGGAGAACAGCAGGGCACTGCCAATATCTGCTAAGACAGCTACGCCGGAAACCAAGGGCTGTGCGGCCTTCAAGCAGCCAGTGCAGGAGGAGCGAGGTCTCTCTGTGGTATTGTTACGGGAAATGAAGCGACCAGACACCGAGGGTTTCTGGAGTACGAGGTTTATTCCTTTTACATGCATGGGCCCAGAGGAGTCAGTCTCCAAATTCTGAGCCCTGAACAAAAGATTCTTGGGGAATATATAGATTAGGGGTCTTCCTATCTACGTGGCAAAGCAGGATACAGAAGCAGAATGCGGTAATTAGTTCTGTCTACGGGGCAGAAACAGAGCTCAAGGACACAGAAACAGAATGCGGTAATTAGTTCTATCTACGAATGAAGCAGAGTTCAAAGGCTCCTATTATTCAGTTCAAAGGCTCCTATCAGTATATGTACTCTTTGGCGGAAAACTGCTAAAAGCATTGGTACCCTCCCCAAAGCCATGGCCCGTGTGGCTCAGTCCAGTAGTAGAGTAATATTTTCAAAAGCACAGTCCAAATAAAACGAATTTTAAGAGAATTTCTTCTTCTCTTTTGAAGGACATTGAAGGAATTCAACTCATGACCTTGCATAACTTTTCCTTTATTCTATTTTATCTCTTCATCACAATACCTGGAACCTTTGAGAGGACAGACGTAATAAGCTCTTTCTCCCTATTGTCCCCTCGATGCCGTGCCAAGACTATTGAGTCCTTTAGAATAGGCAGCACACACACACTGTCTCCTCTAACCCCCCTTCCTGCGCTCCTGGCAGACACGACTAATTGATCACAGGGCTCTTTACTGGGGGCTGGGAACCGCCCTCTTATCTGCAAGGAATCTTGGATGTATGTCAAGTGCCCCAGCTTACTAATGAGTGAACTGCAGCCCAGAGAGGGGAAGTGACTGTCCTCAAAGTCACATGGCTGGCCAGAGATTCTCCCCAGTGTGGTCCCTCACCTCTTCTCCTCTGTAGCCCCAGCCCTGTGATCATTCCTGCTGGGTCCACTGACTGAAATAACAAATTCCCCCACCTGGGATTGTGTCTGCGCCAGGAAGGCTGGCCAGCTGGTGAGCCACACCTTCAAAGGACCTGTCAGCTCTGGGAATTGAGGATTATGAAGGATTTGCCTTCTCTGCCTCGTGGCCTGACGTGTATAGTCTTTTCTGCCCTTGAGTGCACCTGATAACGAGAAAAAGGAGGAGAAGACAGGCTCCTATTAGCAGATGAGTGGGGTTGGGGGTTCCTTTATTAGGAAAATTGGGTCCTCCCACCCAGCGGGCATGGAGACATTTTTGGTTGTCACACTCAGGGGTCATGCTACATCATCAACTGGGTGTGAGCCAGGGATGCTGCCACATCTCACAATGCAGGCGACAGCTGACAAGAACCACCTGGTCCCCAATTCGAGAGTGCTGAGACCGAGCAACACTGGTCTAGGGGCGACTGACCCTCATCCATGCGGGAGGTCCAGTCAGTCCCCTGCCTTCGTTCAGCCCCTCCTCTCAGCAAGAAATCTTTGCCTCCACCTCCACAACTCACTCGAACATTTCTCAAGAGTTCAAGGTCTCTCACGATTCCCACCTGCGTAAGCGAGCATTTCCTAATTATTCCTCCTCTGCTCCTGCCAAGTGCTGGGGGCTCTGTCTCGTCTCCCCCACGGCATTTCATTCCTAGAATGTACAACAGCAAAGAAGCCTCCGTGCGTCAGAACCAGCAAAGCTGCGTTCAGATTGTGCCTAAGATACTGTGTGACCTTGGGGAAGTCACTTCCCTGGGCTTCATCTTTCCATCCACATAGTAACAGCTGACCTTCATGGGGCATGTCCAGTGTACCAGGTGCTCTTCTCAGCGTCTTGCACGTGTTAACTCACTCAATGCCCATAGCAGCCCCATGAGTTTGTGCTATTACCATTTCTCATGGATGAAGGAAACTGCAGCCCAGAGGTCAGATACCTAACTCGCCCGAGGTCACCTGGCCGGCAAGCAGCACTGTTGGGAGCTATACGTGGGTGGTCTGGTCCTGGAGTCCCCTTACTAACCACTGAACCTTCTGCCTCTTTTATGGGATGAACCCCAAAGGGTGTGAGATCTAAAAGAGAAGGCTAGGGGAATATGTGACCCAGCCTTGCCCCATTTCTGCTCCGCACTTCAGCCTAAGGCAGCGCCGGTCTTTCTTTCTGAGCTTTCCACATGGTTGATGCAGTTGAAGGTTTACAGCGTAGGAGCTTGTCAGACACCCTAGTCAAGTGGTCAGAGGGGTCCTTGTCCACAATGGGACACACCGAAAGCTTGAGCCACCTGATAGGATGCAATGAGGAGAGCATAGAATTGCTCCTGTGATACCCCTGCTGAAGATGTACCACCTGAATTTGGACTGTCTCATAATTGCTGGTTTAAGTGAGAATCCCCTTCTTTAAACTGTGCCAAGTCATGACTTAGCTTTTCGGACCTCTCCACCCAATGCCTATCCCAGTTTGGGGCTGGCCTAGAGTCGGCACTCAATCGATGCTTGTTAGGTGAGTGGACGGCTAGGAGGTCCTGGGGCAGGAGCCGGCTTATGCAGCAGAGCTTGTCTGGGGGAGCCAAGGGCTGAGAGCCTGGGCTGGGGGCCCAGGAACCTGGAGGAACTGAGTGCCGGTTCGGCCTCACGGAGCAGCTGCCGCCTTTTCCCTTCCCCGTCCAGGCCTGCAGTGGCACAAAAATTGTACAGCCCCGTTACCCAGTGACCTGAGACATACAATTAAGTTGAAAATTAGTTGGCATAATTAACTAGATGGATGAATACCTCGCTGTCAACACTGATCAATCCATTCTGCCTGTAATCAGCTCAGTGCAGGCAGGCAAGGAGCCCTGACAGCTGCTGCTTCTGCTGGCAAGTGAGGACATGGGGTGGGAGAGGAAACAAGTGCCCAGCCAGGTGCCCTAAACCCCGCCCACCCACCCGCCCACAGGTCCTTCCTCAATTGCTCAGCAAGGGAGCAGCCTTTCCAGGGCTGTCTGCAGTGGGCTCATCCTTGGCACCCAGCAAAACCACAGCGTAATTCTCAGGGGACCAGAGTGGCAAAGTCCCCTTGCTCTCCCAGCTTCCATACTTCCTAGTTCCAGTCCATTGCTAGAGATTTCTGGCCTGCAGAAGAACCACAGGGGCTCCATTTCTGGGCTAGCAGATTTGCAGAAGCTTTTAAAAGTTAAGATGTAACTTAGATGCAGCAAAATGCATCCATGTCATCGTATGGCTCTGTGAGTGTTCAGAGACGAATACAGTCATGTAACCACCACCACGATGGAGACACAGACTATTTCCAGCATTGCAACAGTTCCCGAGGCCCTGCTGGTGTCACACGTTTCCCCCAGCCCCCAGCTCCTGGCACCCCCTGATCTGTTACTTTTCCCTAAACATTTGCCCATTCCTGAATGTCCTATAAGGGAATCATACAGTGTGAG